CTGTAAAGGGGTCTGATTCCCTCGTCTAGTGTGTCTGAAAACAGCTACAGTGTACTCATATACATAAGATAAATAAATACATCTTTTTTAAAAAGGAAAGAAGGAAGGAAGGAAAGAAAGAAAGGAAGAAAGTAAGTAAGGAAGGGTGGGTCTTAGTCAGGGTTTCTATTCCTGCACAAACATCATGACTAAGAAGCAAGTTGGGGAGAAAAGGGTTTATTCAGCTCATACTTCCACATTGCTGTTCATCACCAAAGGAAATCAGGACTGGAACTCAAGCAGGCCAGGAAGCAGGAGCTAATGCAGAGGCCATGGAGGGATGTTACTTGCTGGCTTTCTTCCCCCTGGCTTGCTCAGCTTGCTTTCTTATAGAATCCAAGATTATCCCTCAATGTCTGGGCCCTCTCCCCTTGATCACTAATTGAGAAAATGCCTTACAGCTTGGATTTCATGGAGGCATTTCCACAAGGGAGGCTCCTTTCTCTATAATAACTCTAGCTTGTGTCAAGTTGACATACAAAACCAGCCAAGAGACAGAAAGAGAGAGGGAGGAAGGGAGGGAGGGAGGGAGGGAGAGAGAGAGAGAGAGAGAGAGAGAGAGAGAGAGAGAGAGAGAGAGAGAGAGAGCCCAAGAATCTAGTAGTTGTTCAGTCCATGAGGCTGGATATCTCAGCCAGTCTTCAGTCTATGCCAGAATACTGAAGTAGGGTCTAATGCCAGTGAAGGAATGGTCTTGCCAGCTAGAGCAAGCAGGCAAAGAGCAAGTGCCCCCTTCCTTCTTTACACCCATTATATAGGCTGTCACCAGAAGAAGTAGCCTGGATTTAAGGTGGACCTTCCCATCTCAAAAGATCTGGGATCTAGGATGAGTCTTCTTACTTCAAATTATTTAATTAAAAAAAAAAATCCCCTACAGCTGTACCCAGCCACTTGGGATTTAGTTAATTCCAATTGTGGTCAAGTTGATAACCACTAATAGCATAACAAATATTGTCCTCCAGGTATAGCATAACCAGTCATATCTTAGCAGAGCTGTGACTAAGTGTATGAGGTTCTCAACAAACTTGGGCCTGTTGACCTTCTCTGTGGGTGGGGTTCATTGGACCTTGAATTGATACCCCAGTCCTTCCCTAATTTCCCTCAGTCCAGGACAAAATTCTCCCCCAGAATTCCATGTCCTTGGAGGTGCTAGAGGAAGTAGAGGCAAAAAGGAAAAGACTCCAACTATACAGCTTTCAGGAGGTTTTCACCCATGCCAGGTGGAATTTTTCAGTGGGGCAGCATTTTTGCGGTCATTCACACACCCTTTTACACGCTCCAATAAGTAAACCCAATAAACTTATCGGCTTTACCAGCTAGTCTTCAGTGGAATCATTTCTTTGGTTGGTTGTTGGTGCCCTGTGTGGAGTAAACAGACATTCACATCTCCTTGGGAAAAATAACACAGCAAAGAGTTAAAAGACCAAGGCTTAGACTGAGACTGTGGTGCTGGAATTTGAGGAGCAGGAAGAATTCATTATATCTTAGTGGTGAAATTAATGGTGCTTACTGATGACCTTGATGATGATTTATTTAAGCAGCTTCCTTACTGAAAGAGTAAGGTAGACAGCCGACAGTTCCATGGGGAGAAGGGATATGAATTTAGCTTCAGCCGAGTTAAAGTTCTGTTTTTTTTGGAATGACCTGCTCACTTGCTACAAAGAGACTCCCATACCTTTAGTCTTCGCTGATTCTCTCTCCTACTCCATAGGGGACTGCAAGTTTGGCCTGGCTGTAAAATAAATTTTTACCTCGAAACACTTTGGTGTTAGCTCCTGGTTTTTGACACCATAACAATCTATTTTTTTTTTGATGTGGTGCATGTAGCCCAGGTAGGCTCCTAATTTACTTTGTAACTAGGGGTTATCTTGAACTTCTGATTTTCCTGCTTCCTTCTGCCAAGTGCTGGGAATAGTGGTATGCGCCACCATGCCAAGTTTCAGTATAAGATCTCTATACGATAGCCAGTAAATATTATCAAGAACTCAGAATATAATTGACAAAACCATGGGAAGGGGTGGAACTGTTTTAAAAAAATGTGCAGAATGAGAAGCATGTAACTTAAGTGGGGTACACAGGAGGAAGAGTTATTGAGACCCAGGCCAGAGGAAAGCCAAGAACACATTAGGGTAAGTGCATATCGCTTCCCTTTTGTAACCATCCCTTAAACATTCAAGTTATCTCTAGGTAGTGATTTCAGCATCAATTTCATATTGTACACAACAGTGGCCACTTAGCCAATACGGCTTACTGGCAACTTATATACCTTTCTCAGAGACTGCAATGCATTCTTCTATCCTTTATTCATGTCCAAGGTATTTCCATATTCACATGGTTGATCCCATTCATCAAGCAGGTGCATCATTCAGTGCAATTAACTGAGTCTCTTTACTTTAGTCTCAGGCAGACTCTTCAGACCAGGCAAAAGGTTGTCACATTCTTCCAAACAAAAGCATGGCCAGGCCTATCACAGCAATACCTCACCCCCAGGTACCAATCTCTGTCTTAGGGTTTTCAATGATGTGCACAGACACCATGACCAAGAACTCTTCTCATAAAGACAATATTTAATTGGGGCTGGCTTACAGGTTCAGAGGTTCAGTCCATCATAAAGGTGGGAACATGGTAGCATCCAGACAGGTACGGTGCAGGAGAAGCTGAGAGTTCTACATCTTCATCTGAAGGCTGCTAGCAGAATACTGGCTTCCATGTAGCTAGGATGAGAGTCTTCTAGCCCACACCTACAATGACACACCTACTCCTACACCTTCTAATCACGACACTCCCTGGGCAGAGCATATACAAACCATCACGAGTAACTACTATTTATTAATATAGGTCTTTTTTGCTCATTGTTTAATTTATTGTGTTTATACAATGAGAACTATTATCCTCAATTTAATGGTTGGTAAAACTAGGGGAAAAAAATGGGTTGTTCTTGGTTGCACAGCAAACAGTGAAATCCCTTGCTGACATAAATCCTATATTCATGTAAGAACATTTTTATTACATCTATTTTGTGTGTCCATGAATAGAAGTCAGAAGACAACCCATGATGGGGTCTGGGTATTGAACCTAACTCCTCAGGCCTCTTGACAGGCATCTTTTCCCATTTGAGCCACCTCACTAGCCAGCCCTTACTTTGTTCTCAACATTGTTCTAGTTGATTCTCTTCATAGCTAATACTGCTGCAAAGCTGATACAATCTAGATACCTAGTAACAAGGACAACAATCTAGTTAGATGTTTGCCAAACCAGAATGAAGCAAAAATTGAGAACTGTTATGTGAAAGAAGCAAACGATAACATTGTATACACAAGTGTGAAAATTTAATATTTCATATAGGAAAAGGCTAAAAATAAACCGACATGTTCTGGTTGGTTCGATGTGGATCACGGAGGGTGATTTTTCTTTACTTTGAGTTTGTCCACTTTCACAATTGCACAGAGCTGTTTTTAAAACAACAAAAAATTACAGTAGACAGGCACGATGCCTGAAGCGTGTTAACACCAGTTTGGCGTCTTCACATAAAGCTCCAAATCCCAACTTTAAACCTAAGTGCTGCCCAAATGGCTTCTACATTCTTCAAAGAAACCTGGAAATTACATGAGTCAAAGGGTTTTACAATGGTCGTAACTTGTTTGTAGTCTGTTACAACTAGCCTATTAAGAGCTCACTAGGATCCATGGTAACCGTGTAAGAGATTAATAGCTTTCCACAGAAATACACACATTTCAAAGAATGCTTATATCTTTCGGAATAACACTTAAAGCAACCACAGATAGTAGGAAAAGATGAAGCGTTGATAAAGACACGCTTGCCTCTAAAGCCTCAACTTTTGGCATGGTCCGCCGGCGGTGTGCCAAGCGCAGTGGTCTCCAGTGTCACCGAACAGGGCGGGTCTCTACTAGAGAGATCCTGGGGTACGCACAAACGCAATCTCCGCAAGCCGCTCTGCTGACGTTGCGGCAGAGGAGAGGTCCGGGCTGAGCGGAGGCGGAGACATGCAGAGCCAGAGCAGGGAACTGACAAGGCTTCTATACATAGCTGCCAGCCGCAATACTAAAGCAACAACCACCGCGGGTCGCTTTGAACACGCCCACGCTTTCTTCTGGACGTCAGTACGCAAGCGTCTCTCTAGCCGGCCAAAGACTTCCGGGAAGCTGGTTCCGTCGTGGAGCGCTCACTTCCGCCTCGGTCCGCGGAAACTGCAGCTATGGGTCCGAGCGTTCCGATACCAGGGCTCCGAAGCGCGGAAAAAAAAAAAAATAGAAGGAATTGTTTGGCCTGTCACTTTGTAAACGTTTCCTAAATGATTAAGCTAATGTTTCAACCTTTACTAGCAGTAACAGTAACAGATTGGGATGCATTTAAAAGTCTGTTAAGCTCTCAAGTTAATAGCGTGGAAATGAACTTGGTGAAAAATAAAATCTTTAATGGAAAACTTTTCCGGCATCAGCTCCTTTAGAAGTGCTTTATTTTGCTCTTTTAAGAATGGTGTATGTAAATCTGAAATTGGTCTCAGTTTGGTATCAGACGAGGTCCATGATCTCCAACTTATTCCTCCCAGAAACAGAAAACTTAATTCCCATATAAAGCATATCATAAAGAACAGAGGGTCAAAGAGGGACCTGGGAGATAGTCTGGCTGTTTATATTTGGCCAGGTCTACCGGCTCTCCGCTAATCAATCAGCAACAAAAGACACAGCAATTTTCACCCACTACTGGACCACATAGAGAATCAGCTCTCAGAAACGCACCCGTCCCCTTTCTTTGCTCTTCTCTCCAGTAGGTTCCTACACTTAAACCCTCAAACTGGTACACAGACCAGCGATCTAAGTGAATAAGGCCTCATCTCCCCATGGTCCGCCCCCTAGCTCCGGAAATTACATCACGGCACTCCGCGCCCCGCCCCCGGACGCAGAGTTTTTCTATCCGGATTCTTAGCGCGGACTCCGAGTGCTGCTTTTCTCTACGTGCTTTGCACATGCGCGACTGCTTTTCCCTTCTTCCTCCGCTTCCACTGGCGTCCACGGTTCGCGGAGCCGCCGCCAGCGCCGCGGAGAAGTCAGGAAGTTCAAGATGGCCGCCACGGAGACCCCTTCGCTGCGGGAGCAATCTGAGTAAGTGCACCGTGCGGGTGGTCGGAGCTGGGCCGCCAGGCCGCCGTGCGGGGACGGCGGCGACCTGCGCGACGGGCGGGAAAGTTCAGGCCTAACGGCGACAGCCAAACTTTGCCTTTCCGCGCGCCGTGGGTGGTGCGGCGGGAGGCGTGGGAGCGGCCCCGGCTTTGCTGCCGGTGGGGCCGCGGCTGTTGGGGTGCCGGCAACGCGGCCTGCTGCGCGTCGTTGCCCCGGGAGGCGGCGGCACGAGCGGCCTCTACAGGTCCAGTTAGCGTGGTGGCTGCTGCTGCCCTGAGGTCGCGCCTTCCTGCTCCTCCCTGGGGACCGTAGAGCTCTCTGGTCTCAACCCTCTCTGATCTCCCCATGGGGGACCCGAGGAGGACCCGAGGGGCAGTGGCAGCCGGCAGGCTAAGCCCCACTTTCCTAAGGCATATACTATCCTTGCGATCCTGCTATCGGTAAAAACAGAGACGGGGGTGCTAGGGTCACACTTTTGACTCTCCCGGAAATTGTGCTAGCGAAGTCCTTCGCCCTTTACTCTTCATCCAACCACAACCCGGTATTTCTCTGTCCATTGGTAGCTTATTTCTAACTTTCAAACTTGAGGCAAAGTAAGGTAGGCTACCTGGGTTTTGAGGCCTGGCAGTTTTTTGCCCTAGTTTATAACCCTTTATAGGGAGGGGCATGGGAGAAGTATTGGGAATCGTTGCTACTTCTAAACCATTCTAGTCTGTGTTTGTAATTAAGCGAATATAGATAGAAGTGTTTGAAGCCAAGAGAACAGATCCTTGAATAGGCAAAAGGACTAGCTGTTGCTTAAATACGAGCAGTGTTTTGTTTCCCACGTTTCTGCTAGGAAAGCTTAACTTTAAACGCTCTGAAGACTTCGTGGCAACAGCACCCCCCCAACCCCCACCCCTTACATCTGCATTATCTTTGTTTCCAGCCTGTTTAGGAAAGCGTTTGATACGCTTTGTCTCCAGCAACCTCTGATAGAGGACGACTTTGCCACCAGATAGCCTGGCTTTGCTCAGAGTCTAGTTCGGGGTTCCCCTGTCATTTTCTTTACTCAGCTTGATAGAGAATTCATTTTTATTAAGTATGTTTGAAAGTTACGTCGTTGTCGTGGCAGTTGGGCTTAGACAACAGATAGGGTTTTAGCTAGACATAGCTTTACTGTCTTCCAGGTTCATGGTGTGGCAGTTGCAGGATGTTAGTTTAGTTTGATGGGTGCCTTCGGCTGTACAGCTGAGTAGTGTGTTCTGGTAATCTGAAAGTTCTTGGTATTATGTCCATTTACTTAATTTGAGGGGAGAATTCATTCACATTTATTTTGAGGATGAGTCAGCCCTATTATTTGCATATTTAAATAATCCTGTCTTTATAAACATGGATTTGTTTAGGTTCTGGCAACTGTACATAACACTGACAGTAGTTTTTAATTTCACCTCCCTTCCCCCACCGAAGTTGTGTAAATGGATTTTTTTCCTATGTGTCCTACTTTTGCGAATTTGAAAATAATTAATGAAGTAAAGAACAATTTGATATGAAAGCATGCACTATGTGTGTTGCTGCCCATAGTGCTCAGGCCATGTCTTGGAGTTACACTGAATAGCTAGTAGTTACAGGGAAGCTATTCAAAATAGAAAATTAAGAACACACATATTACATAGTCTAAATTTTCCTCAAAGGCTCAAAGGGCTTTTGTTTTAATGGCCTGTACATTGGTCAGCCTCTTTACTTCAGCTTTAAAAAAAAATCTATTCGAAGTCATTAGGGACCAGGTACTATTCAAATCATTCGCATAGTAGCTCATTAATTCTTGTAACAATACTGTGGAGCTACATACTGTTATTGATGGTATTTTATGGATGATGAAACTAACACAGAGAAATTAAGTAGTTTGCTCAAGGTCACACTGATAGACACATTTAACTTTGTTCAATATTGTTTTAAATGCAAGCTTCTGACTGGTGTACTGTGACTCCTTTTTCAGTTGCCCCTAAGATTTAAAATAATTTTTTTTCTAGCATCTTAGAAAGATCGTTGTAGGGGGTGAGGAGGAATTAAGGATCAAATTAAGAACCCTTTTGCACATGTTAATAAGCAAGTACTTTGCTCCTGAGCCACATTCTCAGCCTGAGATCATTGAGCAGGGCCTGGCACTAGGAGTAAACCCAGAACCTCACACACACTAGCCTAAGTGTGTTCTACCACAGAGATGCACCTCACTCCCCTGAGTTGGCTCTGTCTTTTAGGCTGACCTCCCAAACGTTCCATTTACAAGCATGCCCTGCTATGCCCAACCAAAGATGTGTTTTTGATGTGACATTTCTAATACATTAAAATTTAATTCCTGAAATAGGATTTGGAAAAGGAAAAGCAGAAAGATTTAAGACCAGTTGGTCTTTGGGATCCATTTAACTCCTGTCTCCATCAATTCTGTTTTAAAAGCATTTCAGTTTGGAAGAGAAAGTCATTTAGTGACTTCCTTTACATTGGACTTTGCTCGATATTAACATATTTTTAAAGAATTGCTTTTTTAAAAAAATTTGTCTAGCTTGCTTATCTAGAAAGCATAAATTGAATGCTTCCCAAATAAATTTATAAAGACTATCCTAGCTTGACAATGTTGGTTAAACCTTTAATCCCAGTATTCCAGGGGCCCAGGTAGAGGTGAGCTAGTTTGAGGACAGCCAGGGCTACACAGAAATACTGTCTTGAAAAACAGGAAAAAAAAGGGGGAGACTTATCTGTTGATAACCAGGCATGATGTTGTACACCTTTAATTCCAGCTCTTGGGAGGTAGATTTCTCTGAGTTTCAAGCCAGCTAGAGCTATATAGTGAGGCCAAACAAATCTTTGAGCTGATGGTGCATGCTTGTGATCCCAGCACTTGGAAAGCTGAGGAAGGAGGAGTGAAAGTTCTAAGCCACATAGGGTTTCCTCACTGTACCCTGCCCCTTACTGTTCGACGTTTGTTGAAAAGAAAGTTAAAGTAACACTAGTGCATGGTAATAGATGACTTTATTTTGATGGTATTATTTTGAAAGTGTTCTATGTCCTGTATTCTGCCAGATTCTCCCAAGACCTCAGTAGCTTACAGGGTAAAACTTAACCAATGTGCCAACTGCTGAAGCCCGAAACCTCCTGTGCTTTATGTACTTTAGATGCATCGTTAATCCTGGATGTAAATGGGTGTTAACTAATGTAGGCTAGTAGGTTGTTAATAAATATTTTGTGACATTTGTTATAGATAGGCAAGTATGCACATCTATTTGTTACATTGTAAAGTACAAATATAAAGAATAGATTTATATGTATAGGATCTATATAGCTTTTGTTGTCCATGTAAACTATCCAAAAAGCCATCATTTGTCTTAACCAGCACCTTTTTATTATGCTTTAAGAGAACGATGTTGATAATGAACTTTTTTTTGGTCACTTAATTTATATACCTATTTTCTTGTGGTACTGGTAGTAAAACCAAGGCTTGACACGTGCTAAATACTATGCCACTGAGGTGCCCTTGGAGCCATAAAATATAATTCAAGATCAACTGAAGAAGATAGAAGTTTGCTGCAGGAGTATATAGGATTATTTTGGAAATCCTATCTTGGTTGGTCCTAAGGTAACATTTTACATCAAAAAATTATTTGTAAAATTGTAGATTTTTTAAAAGCTAGATTATATCACAATTCTTAATGAAACTTATTTCATGCCTAAAGTTAATTCCTTTACTAAGCTATACTTAACATTTTATTTCCACCATTTTTAAAACAACAGGGTTTTTTATGGGGAGGGTGAGTGAGCAGATTTTAATTAGTTTGGGTATTGCATATTAAGTACCAAGGAGTACAGTGTTTGCACATAGAAATCCGGGAAGCACTAGGTGCTAAAGAAGCCAAAAACATGGCTTTTATGTAATTATTGTGACCACATTTTATGTGAATTTAGCCTAATTGTCATAACAAACCTATGATTTGTCTGTGTTACTAATTATCCAGTTTTTAAGGCTGAAGAAAATGCCATTAGAGGAGCACTGTGCCCAAGGTTATAATAGCTGTGTGTGTTGGGGCAGCATTCTGAGTCAAGTAGTTTGATTCTAGAATCATCTGCTGCTTTTGATAGTATTCCTTACAATAACTTAGTAACCATCCTGCATCTCCACAGGTTATGCTTGAACAGCTATATTTGTCTAATATGTATATAATAATAACATCTTACTTGGAAGGGCAGTTAGTTCATACTAAACACTGTTAAAAAAGAAGCATTTAGTATCTTTCTAGGTAGGTACAGTTGTTTTTTCCATCATAGAGAAGAGATACTTGAGGTTACAGATGCCTTAAACTTGCCAAACCCTATTCCCAGCACTCAGGAGGCATATCTCTGGGTTCAAGGCCAGCCTGGTCTACAAAGCAAGTTCCAGAGGGACAGGACTTGACACCTTGCCAAATTCTCATAACTAGTACAGTACTGGAACCAAGTTTTACTCCATATGTCTAGCCTGGGGACTGTGTACTTTCATTTTAAGGACAGTTTTATGTAGTGTGACTTATAGTTACTTTTGTGACTAAAATTCTGTACTGTGGATACTTAGATTTTATACACCATTTAAAATGTTTTATCTTTAAGAAGATTGTATAATATTTCTTGAACTTTCCCTACAATCAGTCAGGATTCAAAGGGGAAAAAAAACCCTATCTTCTGGATGAGAGATTTCTGAAGGGGAAAGAAATTAACCTGTAATTTGCTCTATCAAGAGCAAAGTTGAAATACCATTGGCAGTCTGTTTAAGTACACATGCATCCTCCTGCTCTATAGTTTAAAACCGTATGTTTGTTAATTTTACAAAGATAATGTTCTTTTTTTTTTTTTGAAGTCTTTGATTTAAAAAAAAAAGTGATCCAGGAAAGCATACTACAGTTGTCCTGTATCATCTCTTACTCCACTAGCAAGAAATTGCCCCACACTAAAACCTGAGTCGTCGTAGGACAGTTACTCTGCACATCTCTGCAGTGCATTTCCTTTCCTATACTTGATCATAGCTGAAATTGAAGTTGGTACATTTGAGGGTTCTGTTTGTTTGATGCCATGTAATGGCTATGCGTGTTTCACTCCTTCATTGATGTCCTGATAACTTCTCACTCAGAAATATTCTGTATCCATCTCCCCTACTAAGTTATTGAAAACTGAGACCTAGAGGACAAGACTGTCAGGCCCTGCTACAGTCCCAGAAATGGCAGTGTTCTTGTAGATAATCTAGCCGCCACTCTAACCTTGCAGTTCCTGTGCCCTTGGGTTCCCAGTGGACTTTTAGTTCTGTCTCACTCACTCCTGGAACCACATATATTTTGTCATCTGGCGTTGTTTCACTTGAGAGATTAACCTCCTTAGACCAGTGTCTTTACAGGTTTCATGCCCTGACCATCGTGATCGGAGTGTGGTTTTCTCTACATGACTGACTTTTGCGTTCTGCTTTCTCTATTTGAAGTGCTATTTCTCTAATTTTTTTGCTCACTCTTAGATATTGTTAATCCACCTTACTTTTTAGCACACATTTCTTCTCAGTTAACATCTTTTCTTCAATGTAGCCAGTTAACAAATGAGTTGGACACCCCCACACACATACCTCTACCCCTGGGATCTACAAAACCCCCTTATTGACTATTTTCAAATACGGATTTAGATGACCCTTCTGTGTTCTAATACCCCCTCGTTTGGGTCTTTTGTCATTGGTACTTCTCCATGTTATGTGGTTGTTCTGTGTGGTGTTCTTTCCCACTGTACTACACTTTCCCTTAGGGAAGCGAATATACCCTTGGACAGTTTTATTTTTGGTCACCTTGTGAATATCTGAATGTAGTAGTAGGTCATTTAGAAATGTTCAGAGACTGATGAATAGATTCCTCTTGTTGCAAGAAAACAAACAACTTCACAAACGTACCGGGACTATATCCTTTGAGGTCAGGTGAACTGTATCCTCCTCCAGAATAGTGTGTTGGTCTAAACTGAAGACTATCTTGATTTTGCTTTTGGTCTCATCTTGTAGAAACTTGTGAAGTGTGTTCAGGGGAAGAAGTTAATTCCTACAGATTGTCAGCTATGATGTTTGGTAGGATTGGTACATTAAGTATGTTATTTTACCTAGAATGTTTTGAATCTGTTTACAGTGGTTCTGCTGGAACACAACATCATGTAAGTCAAGGAGCATCTGCAGTGCTGTTGAGCTTGTATTTAATCTGGAGTTATTGAACACTTCACCTTGACAAGTTGGGAGTCATAAACTCATTACGGCAAAAGCATTTATAACACAGAACCTCTCTTAGTTCATTCTTTTTTACATAGCACCTGTGAATATGAACATAATTTGGGATAACAATTTTTATTTGAAATTCAGAGAGAATAAATAATTTGCTGAACAATTACTGACTTAAATCTTGCTAACTTTCCATTATTAGATTACTTTTGGCCTCCAGAATGTTTTTTTCTGGTGGTTGTTGTAGCTTGGTAGCTAAAGAACAAGAGTCCTTGTCTTAGTTTGGGTTTTATTGCTGTGAGGAGACACCATGACCCAGGCAATTCTTTTATAAAGGCAAATATTTAACTGGAGCTGGGTTACAGTTTCAGAGGTTCTGTCAGTTCTCATCATGGCTGGCAGTATGGCAGCATGCAGGTAGATATGGTGCTGGAGAAGGAGCAGAGAATTCTACTTCTTGATCCAAAGTCAAGCAAAAGGAGACTGCAGTCAGCCAGGAGGAGGCTCTCTTTTGCCCTAGGCAGATCTTGAGCACTAGGAGGCCTCAAAGTCCTCCTGCACAGCAGCATACTTACTTCAACAAGGCCACCCCTATTCCAACAAGGCCACACCTCCTAATAGTGGGCCTCTTACAATGGGCCAGGCATATTCAAACCACCACAGTCCTCATTTCAGCTAGTTCTCTGAAGTCTTAGACCATGGGATTTTGTTTGTTTGTTTGTTTGTATTGTTACTACTGTGGCCTTCTGAAGTTTCTGGTGGCACACTAATCATTTTGGATTTAGCCAATATTAGTTTTTGAGCTTTTTCAAGAAGGAGTGTTTAGGTGAGATGTGTTCACAGCAAGTAAACAGGTAGATTATTGTTGGCACCCAAGTTTTCTGAGCATCAAGTGGCAAAGATTAGCTTCTCAGTATATTAGTCTCTCTGCCTTATGAAAAGAGAAAGCAGGCCTTTTGTATTTGTGAGAAATGCTGGTTTAAAATCAAATTACTGGAGTTTCTGTATAACTATAATTAATTGGATTTTATTGTTACTGGTTTGGATGTTTTTCAGTTAAATGATGTTTGTCAAAGCCGTACTCCATAATACATTCATCTAATACTTTAGATTTTAATGCAGTTATTAAAACAGGTTGTTGTGTCTCCACCACCTCAGCTCTGGTCATGGGAATCCTTTAAATAATACCTGAAACTTACAACATTTTAATGACTATCATGTTACATTGAGATTCATTTTATCATTACTGTTATAACTGAATACTGGGTAAATATTGTGATTGTAAAATGTGCTTTGTGCATTTTATAGGATGGATGATGCTGATAATTCTGAAAAGAGTGTAAATGAAGAAAATGGAGAGGTATCGGAAGACCAATCTCAAAATAAACACAGTCGTCACAAAAAAAAGAAGCATAAACACAGAAGTAAACATAAGAAACATAAACATTCCTCAGAAGAAGATAGGGATAAAAAACACAAGCATAAGCATAAGCATAAGAAACACAAACGAAAAGAAGTTATTGATGCTTCTGACAAAGAAGGCCTGTCCCCTGCAAAAAGAACTAAACTTGATGATTTAGCTTTGCTGGAAGACTTGGAGAAACAGAGAGCCTTGATCAAAGCTGAGCTTGATAATGAGTTGATGGAGGGCAAGGTACAGTCTGGAATGGGGCTCATTTTGCAAGGCTATGAGTCTGGCTCCGAAGAAGAAGGAGAGATTCATGAAAAGGCAAGGAATGGAAATAGGTCCAGTACCAGGTCTTCCAGTACACGGGGAAAACTTGAAATTACAGACAACAAAAATAGTGCAAAAAAACGAAGTAAGAGCAGATCCAAAGAACGGACTAGGCATAGGTCAGACAAGAGGAAAAGCAAGTTAGCTGTGGAAATGGTGAGAGAGAAAGCAAACAGGAGCAAGTCCAAGGAGAGGAGAAAGTCGAAAAGTCCATCCAAAAGAAGCAAGTCTCAAGACCAAGCAAGAAAGTCAAAGTCCCCTACCCTTAGACGGCGGTCCCAAGAGAAAGTGGGGAAGGCCAGATCTCCTACTGATGAGAAGATTAAGAGTGAAGAGAAAGGTAAAATAAAGGATCGGAAAAAGTCACCAGTTGTAAATGAAAGAAGTCGAGATAGAGCTAAAAAATCCAAGTCCCCAGTTGACTTAAGAGATAAATCCAAAGACAGAAGGTCAAGGTCCAAAGAGCGGAAGTCAAAACGATCTGAAATTGACAAAGAAAAGAAGCCAATTAAGTCACCTTCAAAAGATGCTTCTTCTGGGAAGGAAAATAGGTCACCCAGTAGAAGACCTGGCCGTAGTCCTAAAAGAAGAAGTTTGTCTCCAAAACAACGAGACAAGTCAAGAAGAAGTAGGTCTCCGCTTCTCAATGACAGAAGATCTAAACAGAGCAAATCACCTTCTCGAACTCTGTCTCCAGGCAGAAGGGCCAAAAGCCGGTCCTTAGAAAGGAAACGGAGAGAACCAGAGAGGAGACGACTTTCTTCTCCAAGGTACCCTGTTCATGAAACAGTCATGTTTTTTACTAGCAATTTATATTTTAAAGGAAAAAGGTGAATATAAAGATAATTTTTAAGTGAGATAGTGATGGGTTTTATAACTCTTAATATAATTTAGTGCATTAATTATATTAACACTAAAGTTTTTCTTATCATAGTGTATGCTTTAAAGACTAGTTTAGTGACTGTCTATATTTTTCAAGTTCCCGACTTAATTTAGCCTCTAACTTACTCAGTCCCCCCCATTTAAATCTAAGCAGTTTTCTAAAATTGATATGGGATATTTTAGCTCAGTGAGAGGGAGTCCTTCATAAACTTGTTTTTTCCTTTTTGGTGGGGAGGGTTTGAGACGTGGTCTAATGACAGAGCTGTGACTGGCCTTAAACTTACTCCTCTCACTGCAGCCTCCTAACTGCTGAGATTGCAGGTGTGTCCTACCATGCTGGCCCTAAGTTTTATATAATGTACATTCAAATGATTGACTAGGATCATAAAACTAAATTTGTAAAATAGGAGAGGTGTTTTAGGAACTGGTTTATTATATATAGGAATTGTGCATTTTGGAATTAATCTGTCAAGTTTTACAAAAGATGTGGGCTTATAAAGATGGTATGAATTCTCTTTACTCATTCCTGTTAATATGTTCAGTGTAACTCTTAAGTTGATCTTGACGTTTCCATCATCATATTCTGAGAACTTTGAAGAGAGTTTTCAAAGTGTCATCTCAGGAGGCTGTTTAGTTTTCACTTATGAATAGCATTACACTAAAACTGCCCCTTTCCTTTAGCATTCTGTTTTGAGGCTGTTAGGTTTGCTGATTTGTTTTTTTAAAGATTTATTTTATTTTATGTATGTGAGTAACTGTAGCTATTTTCAGATACAACAGAAGAAGGTATCGGATCTCATTACAGATGGTTGTGAGCCACCATGTGGTTGCTGGGAATTAAACTGAGGACCTCTGGAACAGCAGTCAGTGCTCTTAACCGCTGAGCCATCTCTCCAGCTCCTTACTGATTGTTTTCATCTGAAGTGTTTCTTAGTCATCCTGGGTGTTCCAGTTTGAAAGTTTTATTAACGGCCAACCTTAAGTACTTATTCAAAACACCCCTGCCTTTTTCCTTTTTTTTTTTAATTGTAAAAGAAGTTCAGACTAAGGAAAAAGCCAAATGATGTAGAAACCTGTAAATTCTTGGACTCCCCAGCCCTCTACAGCCTCTCACAATAAGTTTATATCCTGCTAGCCCATTTTATGTACACATTTTCTTATAAATGGAATCTTCCAAATTATCTCAAAGTAGAGATGGTACACTTTTTTTTTTTTTTAAAAACATGGCTTTGGTAGCAGTATATAAAGATATGTATGTGTATGTATATATAAACACACATATATACACATACATACATATATGTGTATGTTACAGTGTAGAAGTTCCAAATTTGCTGATGAACACTATATGGGTTTATTTTTCACTATTGTGTACAGAGATACCTGTTGGTCATATTTGAGGCTTCTTCATAGAATAATGATAGAAGTGGATTTGCCCTGTCTGCTTATATGTACAGTAGTATCTTAGAAAGTTAACTCTGACTTCCGCGTGTGCTAAGACACACACGCCCACATACATAAACAAACAAAATTTAAACATAGAAATGTCAATATGTAGACAATCCAAAATGAAGAAGTAGACTATTATGACCTATTTAGAGAAGTTTCTTTTGAGTTGTACATAAAATTAAAGTTTCTCTTTAACATATAAATAGTCTTTAAATTCTTAAATTTTGAGATCATGGGAAATAAATTTATTGTATGCCTTCTCTAGCACCATAATGCCAATGGAGTCATCTGACTTTAAATGGTGATTCAAAGTAATTTAGTCAGTTACTCTCATTAAGTTTGTGAATCTTATGCCTTTCAAATATCAAACAGATTCTTTTGGTTTGGTCTATATTTCTCTGAACTTGGATTTGTTTCCTTAAGAACACGACCTCGTGATGATCTCCTTGGCAGATGCGAACGATCGAAAGACGCCAGCCCCATCAATCGGTGGTCTCCAGCCCGAAGGAGAAGTAGGTCTCCCATTAGAAGGCGATCCCGTTCTCCACTGAGACGCAGCAGGTCTCCTAGAAGAAGAAGCAGGTCTCCTCGGAGAAGGTAAATATGGAGGACCAATGCTGTCTTCTCCATTCCTTAACCTTTGGCTCTTTTCGAAAATTAAGTTAGCTGCATTGGTAGGTTTTCCCACGGACCATTTTCTCTGAAACATTTTAGTTTTGATCCCATAGCTTCCTTCTGTCAGCATGGGATATTGCACACAGTTGGTTTTTTTTTTATTATGTGCATTGGTGTTTTGCTTGTATGTATATTTGCATAGAGTATCATGTCCCCTGGAACTGGAGCTACAAACAGGTATGAGCTGCCATGTGGGTGCTGTGTATTGAACCTGGGTTCTCTGGAAGAGCAACCAGTACTCTTAACTGCTGATCCATTTCTCCAGCCCAACACAGTTTTCTTTAGTGTAGTTTCCTTTGAAATTTATACAAACCATTGGTCTTTAAGAATTCAGTTGAAGATCTAGGGAGATGGCTCAGCTGCTCTTCCAGTAGACCTAAATTTTGGTCTCAACATTTATGTCATATGACCACAACCACATGTAACTCCAGCTCCAAGAGATCCAGCCATCTTCTGGCCTTCCTGGACATGACACCTGTATATACATGGTATTCATGCATACAGACACACATAATAAAAACAGTCTTTAAAATTGACAATATGTAACAATTTTTTTAACTAGTCCTTGTATAAGTAACTTGATTTCTGGCTAGGATTTTCTGACTAAAAATATACATCTCAACTCATATCTAGAAAACATCACATATAAAGTGTGTATTTTTTGCAGGTTCTTACAAAAAGACTTTAAAATCATGCAAATATTAACCTGAACTTATGCGAATTCTTTTATCAACCTTCTAACATCTTTTTGAATATAGTTTGAAGACGACACACTAAAGGCTCACATTAGAACCACCTTACATGTTTCTGATAATTTACTCTTTAAAACTATCTTCCTAGAAATGGAAATGGAGAGTCAGTGATTTTTGCTCAGTGTGAGGTTTCTGCCTTTACCGAGTTTCTGTGGCAGCCATCTTTTCAGAGCTCTTGTCTTCTCAGTTGTGGATACATTTTCTCTTCGTAGTGTCATCTTTTCACATGTGTAGGTTTCTCGATGGCCAAAGAGCATTGAATCTCTTGGAACTGGAGTTATAGGCAATTGAGTTACAGGCAATTGTGAGCTTCCTGATAGAGGTGCTAAGAACTGAACCTAGGTCCTCTGCAAGACTGGTAAGCTGGGCTGGAGAGATGGCTCTGTGCTTGAGAGCCCTTTTGCAGAGGACCTGGACCCACATGACCCACAGGGTGGATCACAGCCCTCCCTTTCTCTTCCCTCTCACTACAAATAAACAGATTAATTGGTATTTTAAAATGTAAAAAGAAAGCCTTAGAGTCACATTAGACTTATACATGTTTGTCTTTCCTGTAAGCAGTAGTGTGCTTTAAAATTGGTTTTATTAAAGCATAACTAGGCCAATAGGAAGGGTCACTTGCACAGAGCCTGATTAAGTTTAATCCCCAGATCGTACAGGGTGTCATCTGAGAACCAAGTCTTGAGAGTTGTTGTCTATTACGTGCACACACAGGTATAAGTAATAACACTTTAAGACTTTATAAAGTAACAAACTCTTGCATGTAAAGTTAGGAGTTGTGACTTGCATGTATAGTCGTCACAGTTAGCACTCTCTAGGGGAGAAGATTTTGCCTCTTCGTGATCAGTGTCTCCTTTGACTCTAGTTCTTAGCAACCAACTGTTGTCCTGTCCTTGTAGTTTGAACTTAGGTTTCACAGAAAGCTCTAGTTTACACTGTCACTTTTGAAGTTTATATAGTTAGTAATACAGTTTCAAATAAGCACAACTGGCATAAGCAGTTTAGAGAATAAACACAGCTAAGACCCAGAGGAAACCTCATTTTTACTGTATTAATAAATGTGTGGCTGGAGAGATGCCTCAGTGCATATGAAAATGAACACTTGCTCTACCAGCATGAAAACCTGAGTTCACTTACCCAGCACCCAGATAGAAAGCTGAGCATGGCTACAGGTACCTAGGCACTTAGGGGTCAGACAGGTGAACTCTGCGAGCTGGCCACTCTAGCTACAAATGTGAGTTTCCAGGTCATTGTGCGACTCTGCCTTGAGACAGTAAGATGGAGGACAGTAGAGAAAGCCATCCTGCTCTGGTCTCTGCATTCTTGTACTGGGTTGTGTGCACTCACCCTCATAAGCATGTCTACACACAAGATAACAAACGCAAGAGCACAGTGCAGAGCAGTAGCCCATGAGTCACAGCTTTGGTACTCTGAGAGGATAGAGGTGCTGGTAGTATAGCTAGCTCAGTGGTAGAGTGCTTGACTAGTACACACAGTGTCTAGAACAACCAAAGAAACAAGAAACATAAGTATTTGTTTCTGTTGTGCTTAACTCCATATTAATGAGAAAGTAATGTAATTTAATAAGAATTATTAACTCTGTTTAGGCCATGGAGGAGTGTTGCTTACTAGCTTGCTAACCAGGGATGGCACCGCCCTCAATGGCTGAGCCCTCCCCTATTGATTACTAATTGAGAAAATGCCTTTCAGCTGGATCTCATCTAAGCATTTCCTCAAGTGAGGAGCCTTCCTCTCTGATGACTTTAGCTTGTGTCAAGTAGACACACAAAACTAGCCAGTACAGAAGACGTGAGGGTCACAGGAAAATTGAGCGTAGAGTTCAAAGTCCCCCTTTATTCTCCCCCACACATGGCGTCGTTTGCTCACTTTATTTGATACTTTAACAAATATTTATATGTCCCTTTTTTTCTTTCAAATAGAGATAGGAGTCGAAGGAGCAGGTCACGTTTGAGAAGAAGGTCTCGATCACGGGGTGGTCATAGGAGAAGGAGCAGAAGCAAAGTAAAGGAAGATAAATTTAAAGGAAGTCTCTCGGAAGGAATGAAAGTTGAGCAAGAGTCTTCATCTGATGATAAGTAAGAACAGATATTGTCACTATTTCATGTTTCTATTGTAGGAAAATCGCTGTACAGGGGTTTTCAGTTTCTGCATAACTGTCTTAAGTGAATCCCTGATTTCATCCTGAATTTAAAAGTTAACCCTCTGCTTATTAGGTATGTTTTTTTGGAATTTTAGGGCTCTGCCTTCTCTAGGTTGAGTTGAATATTGGGCCATCATTTTACTGTCTTACTTGTGTTTTTATTAGAAAGGGCAGACCAGTTTAGGGGAAGAAGTTACAACGAGAGAGAAATAGTTCAATGCCTAAGTTTTCTAAGGTATTAGAAAATGTTTTAAAATACAAGCTTCTAAAAGCACTATCTCAGAAGCAAAGCTAAGAGTGTTTCTCAGTAGCACTTCTTGTCTTCCTAGAGACATTTTGTTCATGACTGAAGACATGTTGTCACCTGGTGGCAGAAGGCCAAGGATACGAGACCCTGTAGTGCACAGGCCAATTCCCCTCTTAAAACAATCCATCCCTAAAGTGCTTGAACTAAGGAGCCAATGTTGGTTCTATGACTGAGGAAACTGGAAGGAGAAAGGTTCTGTGTAGAGTTTAGCATAGTCACAATACACTTGTTAATGTTACAACTACTCAGCAGTGCACTTAGTAGGTCATAAAGATTGGGGAGGTCTTTGAAGAGCACGTGGGCAGACGGTCCAGGTAGAATTGGACATTGAGCCACATTGTCCATCTGAAAATAGTCAAGTGTTTGTGTGTATCCTTTTTTAAATCCTTTTTTGTTTGTCATGTTGGTTTTTGCTGGGTTTGTAGGTAGCACTACAGCCTGCTTGCATTTTTGATAGGAAATAGACCGGAAGCTTCCGTGAGCTTTCTGTGACCAAGAAAAAAAATGTCAGCTTACCTGTTCTGCCTTTGCTTTAAAGATGAGAAAACTTAGATCAGAGCGGTAAAACTCTTTTCTAAGGTCACAAAAGAGTCACTGGTAGGGTAGGTATTTTGCATGCAGAGCTCTTTCTAGTTTCTTGTTTTGGTACAGTGAACAAAGTGAGGGTAAAGTTTGCTGGGCTCCCATTAGACAACTTTGAGCCTTGGATCAGTGATGACTTAGACTGTGGCTCCAACTTTAATTTTACAAAAATGTTTGAAAACTTTTTTTAATTAAGCCTTGAAGATTTTGATGTGGAGGAAGAAGATGAAGAGGCTCTGATAGAACAGAGACGGATACAGAGGCAAGCGATTGTTCAGGTATGTGATGGTTCTTCTAGTGCTTGGTAATCAGTACGAGAAAGGCTTTTAAGTTGAGCAAAGAAAGTAGTGACAGTAACCAGGTCACTAGAAGAGTTTATACACACATTCATGAGACTTTCAAAGATGGCCATTTCTTTAGTTATTAAAACTGACCTGTAGCTCTTTGTTTTGTTTTATGTCAAACTGTAATATAAATTTCTTGTGTAAAACCTGAGAATTTTTTTAACAAACATGAAAATTCTTACAGTGTAGGACAAATTGGAAGTTCTTTTAGCAAAATCACTTATTTGGTACTATGCAAAAAAACTACTTTATCTAAAAGGATACTGGCAAATTTTACAATTTCAGTTTTGCTTCAGGCTTTTGCATTTGTGTCTTTGTGTGTGTGTGTGTGTGTGTGTGTGTGTGTGCACGCGCACCCGTGTTGTGTGTGTGTTATCTGTGTTGTGTGTGTGTTCATGTGTAGTATATCATGGCCTGAGCATGGAAATGAGGATCATTTGGTAGGAGTTGTTTTTTTTCCCCACCATGTGGGTTCTGGAGATTGAACTTGGGTTGCCAGCTTAATGGCAGTCACATTAAGTCACTGATCCATATTGCCAGCCCATAATTGGGGTTTAAATGAAAGCTGAGTCAGAAAGATTGTTATATACATCTCAACAGTCATGAAGCAATATGATTTGCTCTTTGAAAGACAAACCACATCTCCTTGGCTGTCCTGAGACAAAAGTCATGCCAGAAGATAGAATTTCATATGGTTAGGTTAGGTTATACCACCTGATGAATGTACATCAAACACAACTACTTTTCAGAGTTAGCAAAATTGGTAATTTTGTAAGTATTGTGCACCTGATGTAAGCCAGATGTGGATGCCTTTGCAGTTTTGCATTTGCAGTGCTCCCAGTGTCCTAATGCAGCACCTCTTTGCAAATAATATATTTAGATAATATCTGGTTTTATGAAGCTGATGTATCTATTGTTATTATAGAAATACAAATATCTTGCTGAAGATAGCAATATATCTGTGCCATCTGAGCCAAGCAGCCCCCAGAGCAGCACAAGATCACGATCTCCTTCACCAGATGACATCTTGGAGCGGGTGGCTGCTGACGTAAAAGAATATGAGCGGGAGAATGTTGACACCTTTGAAGCCTCAGTAAAAGCCAAGCATAATCTAATGACTGTTGAGCAGAATAATGGTGAGTTAGATTATCTTAACGAAGCTTTTCTCTGTAGGTTTAGCTGTAGAACCTTATAACAGTTAGATTTGAGCAAAGTTAAAAAGTAGAAATAGTATGCTCAAGTAATATTCTGTATTAATGTGCTTTTTAACTTATTTTGTGTATATATGTGTCTGTATGGTAGGAGTGCATGTGCAGGCCAAGGGAAAACCTCAGATTTTATTTCTCAGTTCCCACCTGTCTTTTCTCGAGACAAGGTCCCTCATGCACTGGTTTGTAACTTGCTGAGTAGGACCCCCTACTAGCTGGCCTGGAGGGGCTGGTGTCTTTGTCTCCCCAGTGCCTTTGTCTCCCCAGTGCTGGGATCACAAGCGCATACTACTTTGATGCCTTACTTTTTAAATACAGGTTTTCGCAAGACAGGGACTCTACTGATTTTCATTTCTTGTTGTCAAGGATGTTTTATTTTGGCATCTGACTGAATTGTGGCCAACTATTGTATTCTTATTTAATAAGAATGCACATCAGGTCATTTTCAGTACAGAGCCACAGTTTGAAAGTTGCCTTGAAAACCAATCTACAAGAAGGGAAACAAGTTTAATTAACATGACTGACTTTTCTGTTGACTTAAGTATTAGTTTCTGTTTTCATTTCTCTAGTATTAATGTAAGAAATGGTATTACTAGATCAGTAGTGGACTATTTGTGTGTGATCTTGCTATAAGTTGTCAAATTCTCCTCTTGCAAGTTAATGTAATTTTGCCATCCCATAAACCACACCTGAGTACTTATTTATCCAGTCTTAATAATACAGTATTATTGTCTTTTAGAATTTTAGTCACTGTCCTTGATAAGTACTTGTAATCTAATGGTAGCTTGAATTTATATTTCTACTGCTGTGATTTGGATGTTCACTTGTTTAAAACCATTGCATTTCATTTTTATTGTCCAGTTTTCTATATGAGTATTAGGTATTTTAGTGGCAAATATTAAACTGGTGGAGGCTGGTCTATATCTGACTAAAGGGGGAATTTACCCTTTGAGGTATTTAATATGAAACTTTTTTGTTTGTTTGTTTTTAAGTCAGACTTTCTCTGTGTACCCCTGGCCGTCCTGGGAATCTTTCCGTAGAACAGGATGGCCTCTAATTCAGAGAAATCTGCCTGTCTCTGCCTCCTGAGTGCTGGGATTAAATGAGTATACCACCACACTGGTTCAAGTTAAGAAGGTTTTAAGGATAGCTTTTCAATTTAATCCAAGATTATCATAGAGCTGTTTATCTAAACCAGCCATGGCAAAAATTGATGTTAGTTTTTTTGCTTTGTACTTATAGTCAATATATCATATCGAGTGTAAAAGCCTGTTTCTCAATTGAATTATTAGTTGAAAGCCAATGTGTAAGAAGAAGTTTGATTAATACTACTTATTCTTCTATTGACTTGGATTTTAATTTCTGCTTTTATGTCTCAAATTGTAATATTTATTTCATTTAAGGTTCATCTCAAAAGAAGCTTTTAGCACCTGATATGTTTACAGAATCTGATGATATGTTTGCTGCTTATTTTGATGTGAGTAATTTTAACTCAGTGACATAGGAAAAAGTCTGTGTATCTAATGCCTGTGAGTAGTTTACAGAGCAATCAGGTTCACATTAACAACATTGGAAGTGCTAACATCTGGACAGACTGTGTAAGCAGCATCTCAAAACTGAAGTGTACTAGCTTTGTTCTTCTCTGAGGCTAAAATTGTCAGAGGTTTTAAGAGACATACAAGAGAAGAATTAGAAAACTTTACCAAAGTTGCACCCAAAAGCCTAAATGTACTTGTGTGCATGTATGTACAAATGGCACTTCAGCACATGAACAGTAATATAGGTGTAGTAGTTAGATACCATGATAAGGTGGGTTAGGTGATCTTTGTCAGTAATCTTTTTCTGTTTTTATTTCATTTTGTTCTTTTTGCTGTAACGTTTTATCGGTGCCTTTTTATTGAAAGTCTTTACTATAGATAAACCTAAAAGTCTGAAGCCATTTCAGTTTATATTGAAAGGGTCATAAATATAAAGCCTTAGAAGAAAGAGAGGATAGCTGTTACAGGAAAAAATCAAAATGCGGTAGAATAATTACTGTGTGAGACATTGCGTTTGGCCTGAGAAGTCTGTAGTGCATCACATGGAGCACAACAGGAGCACTAGAGGAGAATGGGTTAAGTGAAGATGAAGTAAATACTGCCCCCATTGAAGTATTAGCACTCACCATTTGCCTAGGTGATACTGGGTTCTCTTTCTGTTATTCTAATGAAATACTTGAACAACAAATTTATAAAGAGAAAAGATTTGTTTGGGTTCTAGTCCATCATCAGTTGGCCTTGCTGGTTTGAGTCTATGAGTAGACAGTACATCATGGCAGGAGCAGGTAGCAGTAAACTTGTTCATTTAATAGTCAAGAAGGTGGAGAAGGAAGATTTGGGGGTCTCACAAGCTCCTTTGATCTTACAGGTGTGTCAGCTCTTTACAAGATTCTACTGCCTCCCAGCAGTACCAGGCTGGGAACCAAAGCCACTAGCACAAAGACTTGGGAGTGTGGATTGGGGAGCGTTTAAACTACAGCATTATTACAGGACTTCTGAGTATCATGGAGAATAATATGGAATAGGGTTATTCACAAATACTAGATAGATGTTATTTTTAATTTTCCACACAGGCTCAACCTAATACAGCCAGTGAATGTTACTACATTTCATGCCTGTGTGGTAAGGGTACAAATGTCTCCATGGACAGGGAGGCAGAGAAGGCAGTGATGCAGATTGGTAGGTAATGTTGGACTCTGTGGTTGGTTACCTGAGTTCCAGTCTGTAGGAGCTTCTCCGGTCTGGCTCATCAGCTAACGGAAACAAGATCTGATTTTGAACTTTTATTTTTTTAATGCCTAATCATGCCCAAAAGCTTTTGGAAATCTTTCTTAAATATTTTTCCTATTACTTAAAATGTAAGACATTTTGATAATTTTACATTGCCAACTTGAATTTGTATATAAGCAATAGTAACAATCCACTAATATAATAAAGTACTAGTATTGCCAGTTTTTGTTACTAAGGAGTTACTTTAAGTGTGCAATCACCTGGTCTCCTCCCTCATTTCAGAGTGCTCGTCTCCGGGCTGCTGGCATTGGGAAAGATTTCAAAGAGAATCCCAACCTCAGAGATAATTGGACAGATGCGGAAGGGTATTACCGTAAGTTTGCATTTCTCATCAACTTTAAAATTCATTGTGCAATTCCATAAAAGTACACTGCTCAAATGAGCACACATTGTTGAACTCTTTACAGAAAGGTATGGCACAGCCAGTCATGGCATGTGAATTTTTGTTATAGTTCAGTCAGCAGCCCAGAAGCATTACATATCAATTAAAGGAAGCGTAAGTTTGTATGTAGATACTTTCAGGCATGAGTGTATTCTCTAGAGAAGAGGGTCTACCACTTGACCATCTTTATAAGTCAAGAGAAGCTAGTCCTGGAAGTCTTTGCCATGTAGTACTACAGCTGAAGACACCTCAGTGAGCCATTTGTAAAGCTGTCAGCAGTTGATAGGACCACAGGAACTCTTAGAGTTTCTCAAATAGGAATGCGGCTTCCATCACTCTGAAAAGATGACCAATGGAGGCAGTGACTGGTTTTCCTTTGTGTATTGGAAACAGTGGCGATTTCATCCAATTTAAAATAGCTAATGTGTAAGTGACGTTTTGATTTTGTTTTTTTAGGTGTGAACATTGGGGAAGTCCTAGATAAGCGTTACAATGTGTATGGCTACACTGGGCAGGGTGTATTCAGCAATGTTGTGCGAGCCAGGGATAATGCAAGAGCCAATCAGGAAGTGGCTGTAAAGATCATCAGGAACAATGAACTCATGTAAGTTCAGAACTGAACCAAAATCAACAACAAAACACCCAACAAGAATCTTAGTTAACTAAAATTTTTAGAAAAGATTTTTGACTTGGGATTTTAAATTTAGAGGCATGTGTTACATGGGAAGTTCTATTATGTCAAACTCATTTCAGTACCTACTGTGTACCAGTGTGTCCTTATACCCCCTCCCCTCCTCCTGTGTCCCCTAATGTCATCTTCTGCTCTCAGTCTAGAAAGGAGAAATGAAAGGGTATGGATTGTTATTGAGCACATAGCAGCCAGCAAATGAAAATGATTCAAGCTACTGACAGACAGGAATTATTTGTGTCTGTCATTCTTGGCTTTTTTCTTTCATAAGCATAAATAATTGCCATTCCCATATATTTAAATCTACTACACACAGAGCTGGTGGTAGAGCTAGCTTTTCACTGTCCTTCAAATGTTACAAGTATTACAGATTTTTCTTGAAGTCTTAGTCTGTCCCGGGTTTAGAAAGATAGATTTGGTTGGGAAGTCTAACCTTCTGTATTGTAGACACTCAATTTTTAGATGCAGTTTATGACAGTTTATAGTCAGATTTTCATTAGTAAAATTATATTTAGGGAGACGTGCCCAATAATTACATTCTTAAAAGAACCAGAATAATAATTATATCAAGATATTTTGAGGTTTAAAAATTTTAATTAAATAACACTTGGGTAGTTAGTATGCTACCCATAGTGTATCAGGCCGTGTCTAACAGATGTTACTCCTAAATTCTTGTGTCCTAATCTTTTTTTCATTGCAGGCAAAAGACTGGTTTAAAAGAACTAGAGTTCTTGAAAAAACTTAATGATGCTGATCCTGATGACAAGTTCCATTGCTTACGCCTCTTCAGACACTTTTACCATAAGCAGCATCTCTGTCTCGTGTTTGAGCCTCTCAGGTAAAGTGTTGCTCTTTGTAGTTTATTCGGCAGCCTCATGCTGGGTAATTGCAAGGAACTGCTTAGTTTTCCTGTGGGTTCTTCTTATTAACTGTATTATCTTGAAAATCATCCGTGTATAGAACATGGAGTTCTCTGTATTGGGTGGCAGGCAGTAAGAAACCTCAGGTACCTTGCAGGTTAGCAGTCTCTGATGCACAGACGTAGGAGTGGTGGGGACAGATACCAGTTTGACCTTCAGCAATATGGCTTCTGAGTTGTATTTTCAGGTGAAGACCCTTCTCAAGTAATGTAGTTCTTCCTTTGTTTATTTTGAAAATTGAGCTTTATTAGGAAGCTGTATTACGGACATATTGTTATTCTCTCATCTCAGTGCCAAATAATGTATTAGGCATTTGGAATAAGGGTTCTCAAACAGTTATATAAGTTGTATTTTGCACTTGATTTTACTTTGTGCTTGAAAAGATTTTTGCCTTTTGTATTTGATTTTTGACCCCATTTTCTTGTCTTTTTTTCTCCTTAAAGTATGAATTTGAGAGAAGTATTAAAAAAATATGGTAAGGATGTTGGTCTTCATATTAAGGCTGTGCGATCGTACAGTCAGCAGTTGTTCCTGGCATTGAAACTCCTTAAAAGATGTAATATCCTCCATGCAGATATCAAACCAGATAATATTCTGGTAAGTCAAACCACCGTGCCACCTGGTTGGTATGTATATCCATCTCTCTTCCTACTACTAATAGGATTACTGTTATACTGTAAAGTAACATTTAATATAATCCTGTGTTTAATAACTCATTATGACTTACTTGCCAGATTTTATCTTTGTTTGGAATTGAGCAGTGAGTTTCATAGGAAACTATGAGGAAAGAAGAAATGAATTGTCCCTTTTTAAAATTTTGATGGAGGGATTTCTAGTGGGCAGTGGCCCCAACAAGAATGGTGGTAATGATCTCCTTGAGTAGGTAGAGAAGGATGTTCAGTGTTTCCTGTTGTTCTGGTCTTGTGGACACAAGAAACTACTTTCTGCTAAGCAGCAATTTGGAGTTTAAAAGGTGCTTGTTTGGCTCGCTTGGGATTTTGAGATCAGTCTTGCTCTTTAGTGGCCTCACACTCAGTGTTTTCCTGTCCCAGTTGCTCAAATCTCATGCTGAGATTACAGATACTTTTTCTTTTTGCCTTTGAATCTGGCATCTGGGGACCCAAGCAGTAAGATTCAGCTCCAGCTAGGTATTGTTGAATGGTCTTCCTTTGAAGTTGTGACATCTCTTGGTAGTGATTTCTCACGTAGTGCAGTCAGATTTCACAGTGTGTGGTGTGAAATGTGGATAGATCACCATGGTGCTAGCATTAATGCATAAGGATACCTCTCCCTTCTTTGGCCCCTTCACCTTTTGTGGCAGTCACATTCTGAAGCATGGATTCCTTGGGACTGGCGTTATAGAGAGTTGTGAGCTGCAGTTCCAGGAACCAAATGCCACCCCTACCCTACCCTGTTTCCTCTGGAATCATGGGCCTCTTAACAACTGAATTGTTTCTCTAGCCCTCCCACTTCTGGGTTTTGTTTGTTTAATGCATACTTTTTTTTTCCTTTTAGTCAGTTCTAGAATAATGTCCCAGAGGAAGAGCCACATATGTAACTCATGTTTGAGATTGATTGTGATTGGACAGGAGATACTGAGCTTAGTGAGAGTGCTTCATACTTGCATGAGACACTGGGTTCAGTCTCCAGTACTATATCCCTAAATCTGTGATCTCAAAAAGTTTAATGAGTCACAAAGCTCTTTAGTTCACATTGATTTTGTGTGGTTTTATGTACTTGGTACATAAGTGTATACACATGTGCACAATGTGTGCCTGTGTGTGAGCACATAGAGGCCAAAGATCAGCATAGAGCGTCTTTCCTCTACTGTTTCTATCTTTTTTCTTTGAGACAGTCTCTCACTGGATGTAGAGTTTATCCACTATCTAGATTAGCCAGCAGGTGAACCCCTGTGAGTATGCTCTATTCACCGTTCTAGTGCTGACAATAGAGGCGCTTAACCCCACTCCCATTATCTTATGTGTGTGTCTGGGATCTGAACTCTGGTCCTCTTACTTGTAAAGCCAGCATTTTACCCTTTGAGGCACACACATACCATCTATCTTGGAATAATTCCTTCCAGGCTGTTAAATTAATGATGCACATTGGCATGTGTTTGTATTGTGTCATGTTCCCTGCCTGATACAGCTTAGGGGTGGGATTGCTGAGCTATTAGTGAAGTGGTAGGCACATTGTAAATGGATTATAAAATGTATAAAGTAGTCAACTTAATACATTTTTAACTTCAGATTTGTTTTTTAAAAAATTGTATAAAACGATATACACATACAATAAACAGTTTAGACTATTACACAGCAAACAGTTGTATAGTGCTTGGGAGTTTGATGTTTGACAGTGCTCTAGAAGAAGCTTTTGTTCTTTCTTCTTTAATCAGTGTTAGTTTAGGTTTTCACATGAAGTTTGGATACTAAATATTCCTCTTGGGGAAAAAACTCTCAGAGAACATTTGGAGCCGATTTCATTTCTGACAATCCAATGCCGTTAGCCTGGTTTTACCACATGCCATGCAGCATTCCTCATGGGGGATAGATGTTGCATAACAAATTGTGCATGCGTGCGTGCATGTGTGCGGGTGTGCCTTTGTGTGTGCGCGTGCATGCACTCTCGAGTAGGGTATGGTGTGGTGGGAGTGGTTGTTGGCTGAGTGTGGTGCAGCAGGTGTTACAACTTTTTCAGTAGCTGCATGGATTATTTGTTTGTTTTTTTGTTTTTATAAAAAATATATTTACCATTTTAAGACAACTTTCTACTGGTCTGCAAAGTAAGAAAACTGGTCTTGATGTGTTTAAAATAATTTGTGTTTGGCTGGGCTTAGTGGCTCTTCCCTTTATTTAATCTCAGTACTTGGAGGCAGAGACAGGTGGACTTAGTGAGTTCAAGGCCAGCTTGGTTACATATATGAGTTCCAGGCTTGCCAAAGCTATATAGAGACTTGTCGTGGGCTGGGGGCAGGAACTTAGTTCTGTGGGTCCCACTGATAGTCTAGTTTGTTAACACTGGTTATACTTTGTGAAGATAACTCCTCCTTCCCCCAGAGAGTACTAGAGCTGGTTAACTATTCATTGTCATGGGAATGGGAACAGTAGGCCAAGTTCAAGTCCCAACTCAGAATTTGTATGTGTCTCTTTTAAAGGGGGGAAGGGACTCTGGAATATGAATTCTCTTCACTTGTTAATCCTGAACATGCTTCTGGTCATGAGTGGCAGCAGTCACGGGAGCAGCTCCAGCCTTTCTCAGCAGATGTCACTGTTACTGTGTATGTGGAAGTATTTACCAAGGAAAGGAGAAAAAATGACTAATACAGAGTTCATATTTATCAGTTTTGTTAGATACATTTAACATTTTCTTGCTAATATTCTACTGAAGGGATTTAATATTTTTCAGACTTAAAGTGGTGACAGTTTCAGATGACGTAATCCAGGTAACTGACGAGGAATCACTAGTGGTCAGTCACGTGCCACCCTCCTTTCATTGCCATTGTAATTTCCTGGCAACTGGTATTCGATTTAGTCAGACATTTTCTATTAGTAAATGTTCTCATGTTCTTGTAGAAAGTAACTTGACTTTAAGCATTCAAGGGAAGCTTAGAAGTGCTTTGTCTCGTGAAATGAGATTTTAAATATAGTTAGGTAAAATTAAGTGTACCTCATATTCTCTGTGTTTACTCACTGGAAAAAAAAAGTCTTACTATAGTTGTAGTAAAATATTGAATGAACACTTTTTTATAATTAGGAATTCGTATAATAGAAAAGGAATTTTGAAATGAGTGATTTTCGTTCTTCGTATAGCGATTAGTTTAAATTTGTAAAGACAATTTTAATTTGTCTGTTTATTCTGGACATGAATTGAATTTCCTTAAAAATTGTTTTGCAGGTTAATGAATCTAAAACAATTTTAAAGCTTTGTGATTTTGGATCGGCTTCACATGTTGCAGATAATGACATAACGCCTTATCTTGTCAGTAGATTTTATCGTGCTCCGGAGATCAGTAAGTGTCTTAGACTGTTGTTGTGCGTGGCCATCCTCTGTGGTGGAAGCAGCATGTGTAATGTCTAAGCACTGTTTTCCATCACACTTCAGCAGCTGCACGAGTTCATTCATGAGGAAGGGAACCATAGCAAGTTCATCCTCCTCAGGTGGAATGAAGGTAGTTGTGACAGGAGTCTTGATCATGTCGAGCAAGAGTAGCAAAACAGTTGTGGAAAACCCTCGACTTTAGAAGACTGCTCTTGATTGTTCAAGGTCTGACTATAACGTTTATGGATTGTGTGGGACCTTTGGTTTTTCTCTTCCTGTTGCCTGGGTTGAGATTGACTAGCACCTCCAGCAAAGGTCAAAGGACAAAGAGAAGCATCTGTACTTATCCCTCCAGTTCCTCTCCTTCCCCTATTTTTAAATCTGTTGGCATTTTTTTTGTTGTTGTTTTGCTTTTTTTGTTTTTGTTTTTTATTTTTTAAAGTATCTCTGTTAAGAATTAATGGGGAAAAAACGTGAAACTAAACTACACTATTATGGATTTGGCTATAGTTTAAGCTAAGGTAGTGCCCCATTACTGGAAATAAAAATTAAGGAGTCGCTCATTCTTATCCTCATGTATTAAAACCTCCATTTTGTTTTTAGTTATAGGTAAAAGCTATGACTATGGTATCGATATGTGGTCTGTAGGTTGTACCTTATATGAACTCTATACTGGAAAAATCTTATTTCCTGGCAAAACTAATAACCATATGTTGAAGCTCGCCATGGACCTTAAAGGAAAAATGCCAAATAAGGTAGGCTAACGTTCTTCCTGTAGACTCAGAAAGCCCTGACACTTTGTTTCCTAGACTGTAGCTATGTCTCAGAGGTGTGGCTGGCAGCTGTACTGGCGCTGTGGCTCCTGTGGTTTCTGTTAGTGGTTCTCACCAGCCAAGGGCTATCAAAGGGAACTCCCTTTCCAATGCAGCCATGTAGAGACAGAATGGAAAGAGCTGCACGTTATAGAGTTAGAGCGACAGGGAGTGCACTGGTCAGAAGAGAAGGTAGCTAAGCACTGCAGACTTGCTAAGAGCTCGCTCTTCTGAGTACAGCAAGACAGTCTTAAATATTGTGTTTGTGAATTATTATTACATAGAGTTGGTAGTGTGCCAGGCAAAATTTGTAGTTGTTTTAAAGCCATTTGTTTCTGTTTTTAGATGATCCGGAAAGGTGTATTCAAAGATCAACATTTTGACCAAAATCTGAACTTCATGTACATAGAGGTTGATAAAGTAACAGAGAGGGTAAGTTGGCTTATGTGTTCTATATTTCTTTTCAGTGTGGGGACCAGTTAGGTAAGTGCTCTACCATGATGGTCTGTGCTTTATCACCACGAAGTGAGTTCTGTGGTGTGTTGAGCGTGGTTGCTTCTCAAGTGACAACAGAATAGGCAGTTCCCTTTGCTACCAATTTGTGAATACAAACCACCAGGCTATGGGAACACTGAAGGGATTTAGGTAAGACATGTCTCTAAGGTGATACAGTAGGTTCATATTTAGGTCCTTGCCACCCTTTCCTTAGATTGCTTTGGTCTGGCTTCCCAAGTATCTTCTAGATTGCTGTTGGAGGAAGTTTTCTATTTTTTGAGCTTTGCAGTTACAAGCCAAGCTCTCTGTCATATGAACTCCGTCTTCCTTAGCACTTTCGTTCTCCCTGTGAGTCAACCCTGGTTCAGGCAGGCCTCGGTACCTTTGCTCACAGACTCCCATGAGCTGAGTCATGTCCTGAGTGAGCGCCTCTCCTAAACACTTTTATTCAGCATTGTTGACATAGACACTATCATACATGTACTGGTCTTTCTAAAAACCTACAAGATGAAGCAGTAGCTGCTGATTTTGTATCTATAATACTAAGCCCTTGTTTTATCAAAGCACAGAGTAACATGTCTTGGGATTGACCTTGCTCACTTGCCACTGAAGAATAAAGCCAGAGAAAGCACAGCACAGTTCAGGCAGCAGATGCTCACTGTATGTTCATGGTTAATTTGTGGATCTTTTGCATTTAAGTTCTTGATTCTCTTTAAAAAGATGTGGAGGTTAAAACTGCCTAACAGTTTCAAAACTGTGATTGATCATCATTTGTAATCTTGCTTATGTATTAATTTTTTGGTAGACAAACAAAGTCTGATTTACATACATGTAACTTATTTAGAGCTATGCATTGTAAAAATTATTTTTAGGAGAAAGTTACTGTCATGAGCACCATTAATCCAACTAAGGACCTGTTGGCTGACTTGATTGGGTGCCAGCGACTTCCTGAAGATCAACGTAAAAAAGTACACCAGCTAAAGGACTTGTTGGACCAGATCCTAATGTTGGACCCAGCTAAGCGAATTAGCATCAACCAGGCCCTGCAGCATGCATTCATCCAGGAAAAAATTTAAATGAGATGAAGAAACTCCAAGGGTTTGAGTAATTAAATACAAAGACTGAAGAAATTTCACAGCAGTTTATTATTAATGTATATAAACTTATAAATATTTCTGCAGCAAATTTGAGGAAGCATGATATATTTGAATTAACACCAAGGGTGATATTTCTTTTAGAAATGTTAGTTAATCTGTTTTGTGTCTTATGTGAAATTTCACTGTAGAAATGTTTTAATTGCCAAGACTGCACAAAATTACAGTGCTAATGTATATGGTTGCAGTTCACATAAAAGACAAAAAGCATCTGTTATGAGTAGCAGTGCTGGGTGGTTGATTTGTTTTTAGCAGACTTGGCTTCAGTTTGGTCTTCAGATACAATGGCCAGCATAAATGCTGTTTATATTCACGTTTTCCTAGGTGTGTGTGTGCAGGCCACAGCAGCATGCCCTTGGTGTAGTCAGTGCCGAAGGGAGTCTGTTCCTTCTTGAGCCTGCCTGCAGGGATGTCTCCTCTTTTAAAGCAGGTTGTGTACAACATTCAGTACACTGAAGGTAAGCTAAACCATCAACATCACCAGTGTTTTAAGATGTTATTTTATTGGAATAATTGAAAATGAGGGATAGCTTTGTGGCAGAATTCCCTGCATGTGTGATAACTGATGTTGTTTTATTTTTCGCATTGCGACTGTGGCGTAGTTACAGTTTCCGTTCTGTTCACCACATTTACAATTTGAAGCGTATGCGCTTGATGGGTAGAGCGCCTTCAGTGTACTGTTTCTTATTAACTTTACTTTTTTTAAATCAACTTGCTATAGACTTTATACATTTTGTTAAATACAGTTCTTAGTGACATAGAAACGGCATAGTTTTCATTTACTAATTAAAATGTTGAGGCCTACTTCTGAAAGTCCTCATATTTAAAAGATAGACAACATAATGAGATTTTTAACTATTTGTATGTCATTTTGAAAGTGTACTGCTTTATGGTAAAAGTGTTTTTCATTTGTTCATTGTTTGCATTATTTGTGATCATGTTGTCTTTCAATACAGGCATAAACCTTCCACTCTTGAACAAAGCAGCTGCTTTTTAAAAGCGGTAATTGCTTCTTTACCTTTTATTTCTTTTGTAAATGAAGCTTTTCTTTTAAAATGTGACTTTAAAGTGTTGTCTATTGCATAAACAGTTGACACTCACTTACTGTAATGAGAAGATTGTTCTACTGCATGGGAAGTGGACCATGCAGATTTCTGTATGTTCTCAGTATGCATCACTAGATAATAAAGTCTTTTGTGAACAAGGCATTTGTAGCCATTTTTAAAAGATTTTGTCTTCAGTGCTGGTAAGTCAGGTAAACTGTAAATAGTTAAAGCAGTCTTTGTTTTTCCTCTGAAAGTATTACCTGCTAAAAATGTAACTCAGTATAGCCTTATTTTTAAATTTTTTTTTTTAATAATTAGGGTCTTAATTATTTCATCCAGAAAAAATCCTTCAAGTTTTGTCAGCTTTCAGTGTAGTGAGGTTATTCCTCAGTGTAGTAGGTTATGGGGTATAATTCAGGATTTAACTAATGTTTCTGCTATTTTCTCACTTTTCCTTTTGATGGTGCGGAAAGAGAAAAAGGAAAACGGGGCACAGGCCATTCGACGCCTTCTCCAAGGGGTCTGATTTGCTGAGACACCAGCTTCACCTTCTTAACAAGGTTATTTCTGACAGCATGTGTAGATAAACATTTAGCAACAATTTAAAACAAAATCATGTAAATCAGCTTGGTTTGCGACACAAAGGATTTTGTATTTTTAAGATGGTAGAGAGGATTTTTAAAATCCTATGTAATCTTTTCTGTTTGGGAGTGGGTAAACTTACAGTTTGTCTCCCTGAGGATTATGGAGAACAATAACATTTGGGGGTTTAAATAATATTTTTTACATTGTAAATGGGATTTTTTTATTCACCCAGGCACCTAATTACAACAAGCATGCACATTTTGGTGCATTCAAGAATGGAATATCAGAATAGCAGCATTCTCCTGGTGGGTTATGCTCCATTTAAAGACATGAAATGAACTACACAGCCAGGAAGGTGATAGATGAGATAATACGCCACCTATGAACCTACACCCGTCTCCTCATGGTTAGACTTACAGTAAACACACGGTGATTTCCAGCTCCAGGTAGAGTGAAGCCTTTTAAATAAGGCATCACGGGCGCAGCGTCCACTTTAATGTTATGGGCACGGATTTTCCCACCATGCTTACTTTAGTTTGGTGCTAGTATGCTGCATATTCAGGGCTTTTGTAGTTGTTCTTACTCAAAATAGTTAATACTTTCCTTCTGGTGATTTTCATGGCTTCATTTTATAGTTATTTAATAAGTTAATTTCCACTAGAAACAGTTCATCTTATGCCTTCAAAGCTTTTGCCTGCTCTTTAAAAAAACAAAGTTGCTTGTTACTTGTTCTTTGTGTTTTAGGTGCAGCTCGCTGGAAGACGACGGCAGCCAGAAGACATGAGCCAAGGTTTCTGTCCCATGAAAGATCCTTTCAGTTCTCATTTAGTGTGTGTCTGAATTGCAGTTTCAGCAGTATAGTTTGAGTTCCATTGCTGTCGTATTAGAGAGTGCTGTTGTGCCCATCTGTGAAGTGCTCCTTGTGTATCATAGTTTCTGCAGCTACACCCTTCCTCGAAAATAAAAGAGCAAGTTTAGTCACAAAAAGCCCACATTTCATAGTGGTTAGTGTTAGGTCCTAAAGATCACTAAGAAAACCATAGCTGCCAGGTTAGTGTACATTTTAAAGTAATTTGCAAATTGGGTGTGGTGGCCACACCTGTGACCTCAGCACGCCTAACGGATGTGGGGTTCAAAGTCTGCCTGGCCTATAGGAGCGCCTCTTTTTTTCCTAAATGCTTTGGCTTTAAGCAAGTGCTTAAATCATAAGAGTAACCTAGGATTTTAACAAGCTGGTCAACTCCTTTAATAGCTGTCCTTTGTCTTAGTCCTTCATGACCAGCTTTTTAATGTCAGAGACATAAAATAGTAATAGGTGTTGGGGAGGTGAGGAAGGTGGTACCATGCCATCACTTTCCTCGACCTTAGAGGAACCGGGTGAACTGCATTAGATAACCTTCCTTCAGCCCGATGTGTTAACGTCACTGAGGTAGAAGTTTGGAGTTATATAGGACTGTTCTTAGGTTGAGGTCAGTTGTGAATGATCCTGTTTGACAGACCTGTGTTTGTGTTTCTGATTAGCTGGAAAGTTTTCAGGTGGAGCTGACAGGAAGTTTAAGCTTTCATACTTTATGACAGAAATGACAAGTGATCACCAAACCTGAGGTTCAGAAAACTTTTTTGTTGTTTAGAAAATTTTTAAAGCCAAATTTGTGTTCTTTTAAGGAAATAAATGATACCAAGATACATGGATATTCATGTGATCATTATATACATGGGCAATTAGTCCAAAGACCTTCTAACACTATTCTGGGCAGTCCATGCACACACCTTGAAGAGGTTTCAGAAAACTCTTAAGCATTTTTTCTGAGGTTAAAGGAGGGACAGCCAGCCAGGAAGCATCCATCATAGATGTTAGGTCTCTTGGCTACTTTCTCAAGGACCTTCAGATATGAGGGAGTTGGGCAGTTCTGAACAGGAGCAGCATTTTGTTATAAACAGTGACCTTCCGTGTTTGTATTTACGCTGACATCCTGATTAACAATGTTCTGTTTCTTCATTCCCAGTGGCTACTTCCTCAGCTATTTTATTTTTAAAATACAATGTGATTTTTATTTTACCATTGCAATTACCATCTTTTTTTTTTTCCTAACAAGACTAAATACTCAGGACATTTTTGGAATACAAAATGCATACTTTATGGTATATAGCAGAGTTAGTGAGATGTAATGTAATGTTTTCATTCTGACCCCAGGTTGGCATTTCTCCTCGTCTACTCTAGCAGCTTAGGTAGGAATAGACTTGGAAATGAAACAAAGGAATTACATGTATTAAAATTAAATTATTTAGGGAGTGTTTATTTTCTAGATAAGATTGGACAGTGAGATGTGACATTATATATGTGATTTTCCTTTTTATGATAGGATTTGGGCCCTATAAATATTCTGTGGCCAATATATATTCGACATGACTTTATTCTCCTACATGCGATCTCCTAATATAAATGTTCACTGCAAATCATTTGTAGTTTTTCCACGTCAGTGCTGTATGCAAAGTTGACTAAGGTTTGAGGTTTTTTTGTTTTTTGTTTTGTTTGTTTGGGTTTCCTTGACATCTCATTGTAGCATCCTTACTGTTTCTTCTTCTGTATATAGGGTAAGGGACTGTTCTTCTGAGGAACCATTCATTTAGTGATGAAGATACAGAAGCTGCTCTGAGGAAATGTTGTGTATTCTAATTGTTCCTGATATCATTTGAGTTGTAACTTACATTGTAGCAGCAAATGATCCCAAACAACTTAATAGGAAGCTTAATAAAGTGTGCCTCTTGCTACCATACTGTCTACTTGGATTTTCTTTATAGATGTTATTTCTTACCTGGTATATTTCTGAGCTCTTGTTTTACTAATGGCACATGTGCTATGTAAAGAACCTCTGCTTAAGTGTGACTCGGGACTTGTGCATTAAAGTACAATAAATGGGAATCTTTACCTAACAAATTCTCAGAAGAGGGGCCTAGGGAAATGGCTGAGTCAGTAAAGTGCTTGCCTTGCAGGCTTAAGGGCCTGAGTTCACATTCCCAGCACTCATATAAAAGCTGGACACTGGCTTGTTTCCTGTAACCCAGCACTGCTGGAAGGGCAGACACAAGATACTCTGGACTTGAGCTGCTGTATAGAATTAGACCCTGTCTCAGAAATCAAAGTGGAGTGGCATGGAAAGACATCCAACATCAACCTTTGGCCTTCACGTGTGTGCCCACACACAAACCTTACACACAAAGATCTTAGTAGACTTCAACGTGTACCTCGAGTCACAGTGATGGAAAACTAGGGGGAGTGTCCTGCTTAAAACCTGTCCTCAGAGTGTTGGGTACCAGAACACCAGTGCTGTATCCTCCTCTCTCTTCATAGTGGGCTTAATCTCTTCTTGGCTCTGCTGTGTCAAGGCTACTTACCCTTAAATGAAGCTCACTCATTTTCTTTTATGGAAATGATTACAGCTTTTATAAAAACAAGGAACAAGTAACTAAGAATCTGCAGCACATGCAAAGCAGGATTGGAAGGTGTGGGAAGGTGAATTAGAAAACTGGGAGGTTGAGTTGAAGCTAGCCTGGCTGGGTCTCACTAAGGAACAGGTCTAGTGGCAGAAGCTCTGAGTGTTTTTATAAAGATCCCTGTTGCAGTTTTCTGCTTGGGCTGGCAGGGGATTAAAACTGCATAGTCGTCTCAGGTAGCCTTGAAGGTGTTTTTTTTGTTGTGTTTTTGTTTTTGTTTTTTTAATCAGATCTGAAAAGAGCTTTGTAGCTTGTTGGGGTGGGTATCCCAGGGGTCCAAAGACCTTTAACATGCACCTGATGAAGTACAACCTCAGACGTGCTGAAGAAGTTCTATAAAGAGTGGAAAACTAAGCATCAGGACTTAAGAGAAAGCCATGCTAATCTAAATTTGCTTGAATGCGTTACTTTGTAGGGTTGTATTTCAAACCCATCACAGAAATGACAGAAGTTGGCTTCTAGCAAACCTAAAGGTATCCAGATGTATGTGTTTGCCAGTTTCCTCCAGCAGTGAACTTTACACTAGATTAGTGTATATTGCTTTTCTGAATAAGTCATTACCACCACCCCCATTCCACTTGGTCTCTTACACCACCCTCCTCAATCTGGTTTCATCTTACGGACTTAACCACAGAAAATTTTGCCGTCTATCTCACCAGGTAGCCCCTCTGCTCTAACTGAAAATGGCAGTGTTTTGACACTTTTTTTTTTTTTAAATATAAAGCATCTAAAACATCTGGTGGGTTTGTGATCAGGTTTTTCTGGTTAAGTTGGGTTGCCTGTTTGTTGAAACAGGATTTCATATATCCCAGCCTGGGCTTGAACTTGCCATACATTGGAGGTTGACCTTGAACTTCTGATCCTCTTACCTCCACTTCCCAAGTGCTAGAATTATAAGTGTGAGCTCAAACAAACAATGTATGCAGTGCTCGGATCAAACCCAGGGCTTCTTGCATGTGAAATGGCCACATTGTACCAAGCCTATCCCTGTCCTGCAGTTACATCTTAACTTATCCTATGAGAAACTGGCCATAGGGCTATTGTTTCCAACTGTATATTTCCATATGATGATCCAGCAGCCAAATTCATCTTCAAATTTTGAAGAGGGGAAGGTCCCCCCTTTTTTCTCTATGTCCAAAGGAATTTGAAGCAAGCCTAGTGTAAGAGCTTTGGGTTGGTGCCAGTCTAATTCCTTTTTGACACCTACAGAGCTCTGAGGTGTTCTTCCTGTCTGCCACCTACATTCCTTGTGTTCTCCCACTCCTGCCTTTGCAAGAAATGTTGGTTCCTTGAGAATTGTCCTCCACTGCCAGATAATGTTGGTTGGCCTGCCTGTGCCATTCTCGACCTGTTTTCATGTGACCTTTACTCCTGGTCATCTAATCCCCAGGATGTATACCATCTCCTTTACTGGTAGTCCCCAGGTGAAACATGAAAGAACTGCCAGAGCTGTAACTCTTATCATAGGATTGGGGCTTAAATTCTCAAAATGAGCTTGCTGCTGGCATGCACAATTACTCCATGGTTGGAGAAAAGTCCGTTTGTCAGTTTGATAATGCCAGATGAGGTAGTGAATAAAGCAGGCTTGCTGATTCCTAAAGACCTCATACAGGTTACATTATGAACCTAAAAGTGAGGGGATGAAGGCCAGGTAACTAAAGGTAAAGCTGGAGCTGGATACAAGCGCTAGTCGTTAAAGGTTCCAGACTTATAAAAATACGAGTCATGATGATGGATGGCAACCATAGGAAGTGTGAACATACATGTCCATTGTTGCATTCTTTGGAGGACTGTCACTAAGCATCTTTGAATAATGGAGATGACTGTGTGATAAACAGGTACATTCCATTTATTATTCCCTTTAGTGTTTGCATTGTTTCAGGATATTGTCATTAACCTAAACACTAGACATGCTTTCTGTGTCCTGTGGCCTGTGTTTTAAGAAAGCCATTTGAACCATACTACTAATGCAAATAAGAGGACACAGGTGACAGTTAACTTCAACATAAGCTTGAATCTTCTCAGTCATATCACTTATCCTAGTTCCTGTATCTCCCCCACCCCCTCTCTCTCTCACACACACACTAGCTCTAGTTATATAAGCCGTGACAGGGAGCAAGGTCACCTTTTACTTCATTTGGTATCTTTGGTGGTATCTGAAGAACTAAACATGTTGATTTTTAATGTTTAAGAAAAACTAATTGGAATTCATCAAGCACCTTAAGACCAAAGCACATGAACCCCTCCTCACAGACATCCTGACCCTCGTGCCAAATCATTACATCAAATGTTTTCATTTCTTAAGTTGCTTGAATGGTTGAACATCTCCATGGATCCTATGCCGAAAAATTCTTCAGGAAGTTTGCAGCTGAAGCCAGGACTTGACCTGTTTTCCTGCTTCTTAGAGGTAATAAATACCATCAGTCTCAGGAACTGCCTCTTGCCAGCTCATTAGTTAAGTTTTAGCTGTTTGGTTTCTAATAGATAACCACCGTTAATAAAAACAGCTAGAGCCTCTAAGAGAGAATTCTAACAATGTCATATTTACTACTTTCATGTCTGTGCTGGAGGGGAAATGGAAAGTTTGTAGCCAGCAAGTCCAATATATGGCCTACAGGCTGCCCTGCAACCGAGGATAGGTGTCAATGTCAAAATGCTGGACTACCATGCCTGTGGGGATCTGGCACATTGACTAACCAAAGTGACTTCTATCATTACTATCTGTAATCACGTTAGAATACACATGTAGAATCAAGGGAATTCCAAGTCATCTCTTAAATGTGGGTTCCAAGGATGAAACGCAAGTCATCAGGGCATTAGCCCCAAATAACAGCTCTGCAAAGCCAAGCAAATGCCCAAAGGCTAGAATGATAGGTTTGTGGTGTTGCGAAAGGAATGGGGAAAGATTCTAAGGTGGAAAGTATAAGCCCCCTCCATGTGTGTGAGTGGCCAGGTCTCCCCACCGCTAAGGACCTCCAACCACCAGGATCTACCCCTCAGACCCCTCAGAATACTAGAATTTTAAAGGTTGGATCCAGCCCCTCCTGAGGTTGCTCCAAGATCACGCCCAAAATCCCACCAATCCCAGGCCACCCTGAAAAGATCCCTTCCCCTAAAGAAACCCTATATAAAGCCTGCCTCCAGTTCAGTTCTTTGCTGTTTCTCTCCACAGTAGAGGCAGCCACCCTCTTGTTTTTTTCCCCAATAAATCTCTTGTGTGAGGTTTATTGTGAGACTTTATGGTATTCCTTAGCTCCAAACTGCCAGGATACCTTTCACTTCAGAACTGTAACATAGGAAGGATTTAAGAAAAACCACAAAAAGGAACTGCAACTCTTACCTGATTGTATATTAGAAAAAGACAACAACTACAACAGAATAAGTCAATTATACTATTTATTAATGATGGAATCATTGGAAAACAATCACAACAAAAGAACAGTCTTCTGAATAGTGTGCTTTACTAAATGAGACATTTCTTCGAAGTATAACATACAAAAGATTGTCAATGTCAGTGAGGAAGCCCTTGACTGTATATAGAGTCAGCAGTGACATTCATGAGTTCTACCCATGTCATATCAAGGAATTATTTTGTAAGGGTGAGGTTTTTGTTTCTAATACCTGTGTCTCAATGATGAACCATATTTTAGCTGGGTTTCATGGAATAGATTCGCTCACATTGAGATGTATGAAAGCTATTTTTGGTCAGTGGGTGAGCACTTGCCCCTGGCTATAAGTGAAGGTGATAAGCAGTTTCGCTTCTGAATATAGAAAGATCTATTCAGTAGTATGCTTTTCCGGTGACATTTCTTTTTGGTCCTTGGCACTTTACCTTCTTCCCTTGGATTTTCAGGGAAGGACAGGGGTATAGGGGAAACTGGCATCGGGGACCTCGGTGCGAGGCATCTTGTTGAAACCGCTTTAGCCATTGGTTGAGTTGCTTGGGTAGTAGTAGCAGGCTTGGGTGGGGGTTCCTGGCAAGAGTTTAAAATGGAGTTTTTGGAATTCTTTAGATCATCATGAGCCACGGCACACTGTTTTGAAGTGGATGGACATTTTAGCAACTGTCTAGAGTTCGACTTACTTTTGCTCAAACTCCATTTGGAAACATTTTGTTCTGGCTTGCCAGAGTTGTTTTTTCTCTTGTCTCGATTTTTATCTATGCCAGAGGTCTGGAGAGTCGATGTTTCAGGAATCTTCAGTGGCTTGGCTTTCAGTGCAATGGCTTTAGAGGAAGAGGGTCGTTCTGCCATGGAGAACATGGTGCTGCAGAAAGTGCTTTGGAGCCTTGGCCTCTCTCTCTGTATGGTCATATGTTGTAATCTTTCCAGTTCTAATAAACGAATTATCAGACGCTCAATGGAACTTTCTGGAGGGTCCACTGCTGCCCTCCAGCTTTCACATTTTGAGAAGGCAAATCTGTGCAGGTCCAGAGTGTTGAAAGGGGCAGGGAGGAAGTCGGCATATACGGACACTTCGTCTGCTTCCTCTGTGAAAGCTCTCTCCACATGTTCTATCCTTTCTGGCTTTAACTTCAGGTCCATCTTTTTAAAGTAGCTGAGCAGAGAGTCATTCATTTTCTCGTTTTCGGACAAGTCACTCTCGTCTGTGATACTTTCTTCCACACTGCAGTTTCTGTATTTGAAATTCCAATTTGAAGCAGATAAAGAGTCACCATTGTTGTTTTCCATAGTTGAAAACGAGTTAATATGAAACTCATTTCTATCCTTAAGAAAGTCTCCATCAGCATAAGGCCAGCACAGACCTGCTGGCATTGACTGGCCAGGGTAAGCAATGACTTGCTTGCTATCTGTCAAACTCGGAATACTTGCTAATAAGTGGTTTACAGTGAAGAGCCTGGGACTGTTGGCTGCACTGAAGCCAGTTTCCACTGACGATTTTTTGAATTCTCTTTAAAAAAGAAAGATTTAATTAACTAATGACTTGTGGCTTGTTACAAGAATTTTAATGCTATTATGAGGCTGGAAAAAAAATGACTCAGCAATTAAGAGCACTTGCTCTTGTAAAAGACCTGGGTTCTCGGTTTCCAGCACCCACACGGTAGCTCACAAGCATCCATAATTCTAGTTTCTGTAGATCCATCCAGTGTCCTTGCTTTATCATCATGGACACCAGGTACTCATATGGCACATATATGTACATACATGCAGACAAAATACTGTAAAAAAAAACAAACCTCTAAAATAGTATTAGTAACTTTTTAATCAAAGAAAGACTGATGTGTAGCTTCCAGTAGCATTTATGTATATAGTAGCTACCTCTCAAAGAAATGTTGTTTACCAAGTATGTTTGAATTAAATGCAACTACACAAATGTCTTAAAATATACATTAAAAAACCTAATGGGCAACTCTGTGCAAGCGCAATGAAGCCCATGGTAATACCTTAAGACGACTAACTGCTGTTATGAGTATACACTTAAAATGGGTATCTTTAGATAGCATAGTGGAGAATGGCAACCTGTAGCTTTGAGTAGCACTGAAGTTAGAGTAAATACTATTGACCTTGAAGTAGATGAGGCTTTTAAAGACTGTATATAGGTTACTTATAAACACTTCTATGTTAAACATTGTGGTTTTTAAAAATTATTTTTATCAAACAATGAACTCAACAGTGTCTGTCAAGCAGACTTCATTCCCAATTGTGGTCCCTGGTAAGTTTTGTTCTTCTGAAGCCCTCTTAGGAGTAATAGCTCTAGACATTAAATTAAAATCATACTGGAAAAGTAATATAGAAAAGGGGATTAGGGGAAATACACCATAGAATGCTGGCTTTCTAGTTCGGTTTTTTCTTCATTGTTTGTACATTTGTTTATTTTAAAGACAGTGAGAGAGCAGGTAGCAGTCACATCCACCTGTGGAGCTCAGGAAATTAAGGCATTCAGACAGCTTGAGCCTAAGAATTTAAATCTAGACTGGATAGCAAACACACACATACACACACACACACACACATACACACACACACACACACACACACGCATGCACGCACCCATGCACACACAGAAGGGGGAAAGAGGGGGAAGGAGAGAAAAGAGAGAGATGGGAGGGAGGGAAGAAAGGAGGAGGGAAGGAGGGAGGGAGGAAAGAAAAGAGGGAGGAGCAAGGGAGAGAGGATAACTAGAAATAACTAACACTGAAGGATTTGATGCACCCGCTTGACATGCAGTCTCAAAGGCTTCTTAGTTCATGTCCAACGTTTAGTAAAAGTAACAATTTAAATCTTTAAAAAATACTTTCATTTCTAGCAAAAAGTGACTAAACTGTTCACTTAGCTAAATACTGAGAATGCCACTTTGCCTTTGAAACATCACAGGCAAAACCATTTGAAATCTATGGCTGTCAACAGACAGGAGCCCATGTAGTGCAGTGAGGAGAGACAAAAGTCAGGACGGGAGGAAGCCTTCAGCACCAGTGAGAGAGCCACATGGAGATGGCACAGTGCATCTCAGAGCTGCTCCAAGAAGTTGGAAGTTTCTTAAGACAGAACTCTGAACATTTGTACACACTAAAGGGGAAGTGGTGGCTACTTCGTTACTTTCTTTACTTGCTGATAATATACTGAGAAAACTCCTAGTAAAATACTTCATTGATACCACACTCCTATCTCAACAACAAAAGCCTACATAGTATCTAAAGCATGCCTACTAAACACATTCTTCTGGTTACTCCTCAGAACACTTGAGAGTGTCACACTGTGAGCTGTAGGAGTTCTTGCACGTCCTAACCATTGCACCACACTGCCATACTCAGTGTTTGTTCCTTCCATAAATGCAGTGCCCTTCATTTGACCTTTAACCTGAAACCTTGGCTCCCAGCAGACTTCTTTCTGATACAAGTAGACTTCTTCCCTGTCTCCTTCAGCACTGCCATTCCATTAGGACTTACTCCCTACAATTCCTTGTCATCTGTCTTGGTTGTCCCAAGCTTTAACATAAGGCAAGCTCTACTCTGGGGTTCATACAGGAAGCATTCTGACCAGGGGATGATGCTCACTCCCGCAATGAGCCACTGTATTGTTGCACTTGTATGAAAGAGGAGTAGAACTCAAGATGGCCATTAACTAGGAATACTGTGTGTGTAAAGTGACATAAAGCCGTGCCCAGTGAGAGCTCTCAACCGCACGTCGCTGATCTGAATCGTTAAGCAGCAGTCAGTCTGGCTGCTAACACAAGACAATAAACCAGAAAGTCAAACCGTTTAGAGGTCTGATAGGATATGTAAGATGTCCGAGCTTGCATTCAGCTCTGTCTGTTACTGTTCTACCACCAGTAGTGTGTGACTGGCAGATTTCTTAACTCTCACCATACGTCCTGTCTGTAAAAGAGGAATGCTGACTGCAGTCTACTGTGTTAGACTGATGGGAGGGTTCAATGAGTTTAAATGTATGGAATTAAGTAGATCCTAGCATAGAGAACTGCACTTTTGGTCCACATTTCCCTTCTCTCCAGTATAAGAAGGCCAGTGCAATCCATCTAAGCCTCATAGGGCTTTCAGTGCATATACACTGACTGTCTTGTGCTGTCTGCAGTCACTGGCTATTTTAGAGTGAATTTCTATAATTTTCTATTATTTGCATAGGATATCTTTTTTTCTGGTTGTGTTTGATCCTCATATCTTAAGTACTTAACAGGTATATTTAATTCAGTGGAATATTAAAAATCTATTTCCTGCTCGGTTTGGTGGCACACACCTTTAATCCCAGCACTTAGAAATAGATGTCTAAGTTCCAGGCCAGTTAGGCCTATACAGTAATATACAGTAAGACCCTATCTCTCCCCGACTCCCCCCTCTCACATTATATACATACGTAGTTTTCTTACCTTTTATCTATGGTACTTCCTTTATTAACAGGAGAACTCCATAGCTGAAATACCCCTTGATTACTGTTCTGCTAATACAAAAAGCAAACCCAGTGTTTAACAGCTGTGAGAACTTTAACAGCAGTTACTAAAGAGTATGAGGAAGAAATCATACCTGTGATCTACTGTGAGCATGCTCTGATACGGTCAGCTGCAATACCAGCTGTTCTGCCGGATTTTCCAGATGGTTCTACAAGGCAGCAGGAGACTTGAATACAACACAACCCTGTTTGCTAATCATGTTCTAAGTAAAATCCAATGTACGCCCAACTCTGTTGTTTTCAATACTGTTAAATAATGAGGCTTGGATACCACTAATATTATATTACAGTTAAATATTTCACATGTTTGTTATAAAGGATACATGGAAAGATTATGTTTACCCCAAAAGAGGATATTGACTATTTCAAATGCTTCAGGACATTTTAAGGGCACACACTACTTTTCCTATTGATAAGGACTAGAAAACTTCATTTACTCCTGAGTAAGTTATATTTACAACATTGTACTAAAAAATGCACATATAAAAATCTTGCTTTTCTTTCTTTTGAGATACTGGGGATTGAAACTAGGGCCTTGAACTCACTAAGTTATGCTTTCCCACTACTCTGTATCTCCAGCCACATTTTGTTTCTTACTTTGAGATAAGATTTCACTAGTTTGCCCAAGCAGATACTGAATTCACTCTGTACCACATACATCCCTCAGCCCCAGCTTCCCAAATACCTGGGATTACAGGCCTGGATTACCAGACCCATCCAAAATAGTAATTTAACGACCAGTTTATAACCCTGTAAAATGGCAATGGTTTTGACTTGTATAAAGAACTCTTCGGAAATAAACTTTCAAGTTTAACCCTTGAGAAAGAGAAAAATTTTAAAGAAGATCATGCAGAACATTTTCAAGCGGTACGTTTTATGAATTACTTTAAGCCAAACATCCTTACCTTGTTAGTCTTGCCTGAAAGAATGTATATGGAAAAAAATGTCAATTAATAGTTACACAAAATAGGTTAAGACATTAAATCCTTTAATCCGTGCGATTCTTGTGGATTTCATACACTCAGCCCAGTCTTCTTACCACCTGCCGCACCATCGTTTTCAGATAAGAAGCTTTCCTTTTCATCAAAGAGTTCTTCTGCATCATGGCTCCATTGAGAGAGATTCTAAAATGATATTTATTTTTAAGGATAAAGTTAGTATTGATGCATGTCCACTGGAGAAAGCCAGACAGAGGGCACCCTCGGCCTCCTCTGGGAGGCAGCCAGCACATCTTCAAGGAATGCACAGCTTTCTCTTTCCAAACCACCATCAGCTTGTTAATCCGGAGATAGAAAGGCTTTCACAGTATGTGGTATTGTCGAAAAGAGTGCTACGTGGGTTTTCAACACTGATTTTAAAAGTATAAGGAAACACTGTATTCAATGTGTCACTGGCACACGATGGCATTCACGCATGTGCACTGAGTGCCAGTCTGACGGGCCACAGCATCATCCATCAAATGCAGGAAATCTCCAAGCCTTGCATTATAGTCAGTATTAAGCAGCTGCTTGAGTATCATGCTTAAGGTTTGTATTTAGCCCTAAGCACAAATTAAAAAAAAAAAAAAGCCAACCAACCAACAAAAAAAAAAAAAATGGGGGTAAAGGATTGAAGAGGTGGCTCAGGGTGAAAAGTACCAACTCCTCTTCTTGAAAATGTGGGTTTTAATTCCTAGCTCCCAACTATCTGCTACCCAAGCCCTGGTGATCTGACGCCCTCTTCTGGCTTCCTATAGGCACTGCATGCATGTGCACAGACACACATGTGGGCAAAATACACATCCCATAAAAATGAAGAACACAATCACCTTTTTAAAAAGATGAAGGTGAGAACCAGATACTGGCATTTTGGACAGAATCCAATGGGTGCTCAAGCTTCCTTGGCCTGTGTATTTCTGGGATAGTGTCTGAAATGTTACATGTGAGGAAAACATCCTTATATTGAAATGGGAAGGAGACATTGAGACAACTGAGCTGTTTACATACTAGACCAAGGTGCCAAACGGGACAGCTCAGCACAAGCTGCTCACAAAGCAAAAGCAGAGGGTTATGGCCACAGTAAGACTCTGGGGCTCTGTCCCTGTCTCCAAAGTCTGGAATTTCAAAGCTTCGCATACCTCCTGAGAGATGCTGGACACAGGCAGGTTGGTGCTACAGGTCTCGTTGCCTTTTCTCCCCATTTTGTTGGAGCTGTTCTTCTGTTCCCTTAAGGTCCTATACAGGTGGTGGAACAGGTACACTTAGGGGAAGGTTGACATTTATATACAAAGAAGCTTGAGTTTTGTTAAGGAAAATTCTCAGAAGGGCTAGAAGTGTAGTTCAACGTCAAAGACGTTAGGTTTTAACCCGAGCATCACCACAACAATAAAGCTTAGAAAACAGAGTGACAAACCATATAGCATTAGAAACTAGCAGCAAGCCATACCAATACCAGGCAGAGACAAAAATAAATTGCAAGATCTAATTGACCAAATATTAGGAAGTGAACCCCAGAGTCTAGACGTCAGACAAGATGTAAGACAAACTGGAAAAACAAAAAACAAAAAAACAAAATACAGTGAGTTATCTCAAATTTAAAAATAGACCCCAGCCTATTTTAGTTATTCAAAACAAAATGTGCCCCACCCAAAAGCAAAACTAACCTTTCACATAAACCAGGCAAAAATCCCATGTACGTTCAGTAAAAGGCTCAGAGGGCCAGGCATTTTCTAATATCAAATTATTTGACGTCTAAAATTCCTGGTACTATTTACGATACACATATTTGATGGAGAGCTATATGATGATGTAATCGCTGGATTAAGTTCTGGATAATTAGATAAGTTACAAATCACTGAAGTGGCCTCTAGATCTGTCAGTAGTTACAGAGTATTGTCTCCAGGAAATATTTATAGTTCAGGTAGTCTGTAAACCAACAGGCAGTGATTCGTTGCAATATACATGTGGGATTCTGGGGCTAAAAAACCCGCAGAAGGCAGTAGGCTGCTAAGCAGAGGGCACTGCTGGAGATCACTCAAGTGTGTGCCCCACAGGAAGACAGGTCACTGGGAGGAACGACTGGAATCAAGGAGCCGGTTGACCACCAGCCAAGGGTCTGCATGTGGCACATCACCCTGCCCTCCAGGCTGTGACTGGCTTCCTGGCCCAAGACGTCAGGGAGTCTCGAGGGTGGCCTGGACTCTTACTCGTCCGCCTCGAAGGCCCACGTGTCCTGGCCGTCGTCGTTGTCCTCGTTGTCGTCGTCTTCGTCGTCCTCTTCCTGGTCTCCAGCCCAGGGCACGGGCTCCTCCTCTTGCTGGGCGAACAGCTCGGCGGGCTCTGGCTGGGCCCCAGCCTTCCTGCAGTGGGAGGACAGGGAGAGAGAACAGCGGCTACGGGCCGCGGGCGCCCCCGGCGGGGTCGCACCCGGGACCAAGCCGGGCTGCACGAGGAAGTGTCGCCCAGCAACTAGGGCAGAGCGCAGAGCCCACCACTCCATGTTCCACCCGGGCCGAGCCTCTTAGGGTATCTGGGCCGCCGGGCCTATCTCTTCCTTCTTAGACCTCTGAGAAACTTCTGGACTCTTGGAGACTACCTTCTTGGGCCTTCTTAAAATTTCTGGGACCTTTTAGGCCCTTTAAGGCCTCCCCGGGCCTTTCTCCATTGCTTTTCTTCCCAAGGGTCTGACCTTCCTTGTGACCTGTGGGCCTTCTCTACTCTGGTGAGGCGCCACAGATCCTCTTGGGGTGGGCTTGAGGACTCATGTAGTGGACAGTAGGGCTGTCTGGTAGCCATCTTCTGGCCCACAGATAAAGCCATGAGGTTTGCCTGACACATCCTAAACCAAACAGATGTCAGGCATCCCACCAATGCTTATAGTCCTTAAAACCACATATTAAATACTTAAACGAATAATAAAATAACACTAAATACTTAAAGAATAATACTCCTGCTGATATTATATCCCTAGCCTTAGCTTTTTTTTGTCTAAAATACATTTATATTGTAAGATGCCAGTTTTGTAACCCAAATGAGTATTTCTTGACATCTCTACAAATTAACAGAGAAATTTATACACACACCCATACATACAATAATTGAATTCACGTACATATAAGTGCCTTTCCCCAGAATTTGGTATAGGGAAAAATTTTTAAGAGCAATTTTATATATTAGCAAACAATTACCAAAAATGTCAGTAATGACATTTGAGGGGTTTTTATTTCTTTTATTTTTGAGGCAGGGTTTTTCTTTGTACCCCTGACTAGTCTTGAACCAGGCTGTGTAGACCAGGCTGGCCTCGAACTCAAGATCTCTGTTCTCCTAAGCTGCCAAGTGCTGGGATTAAAGAGATGTGTACTATGTCCAGCATTGAGAATTTTTTTAATCATTCGTTGATAATATTTTTGTCAGATTGAACACCAGGGCATGGCCAGCATCTAGTTCTTAGGAGTAGTCTCAAGACAGCCTTACTCTAAATATGCATTGTTTTAGCTCATACAGAGGGAGACCATTTCTTTCCCTTTCATTATTGAAGTAGAATAAGGTTGAATGTTCTCTGACGGATAGTATTTACCAATCTTTTCTTCAAACTGCACTACAGAAGATTTGTTATTAATTTACTTATGTGTCTGAGGAGTTCGAAGGGGTGTCAGATCCCCTGGAGTTAATATTACAGGTTGTTATAAACTTCCTGATTTGGGTTGCTGAGAATCAAACTTAGGTTGTCTACAAGAACAATGCATACTCTTAAGCACTGAGCCATCTCTCTAGCCCTCAACAGGAAAAGACAGCAAGCCTTGTGCCAGCCACTTGAGCATCCAGCAAGCCTACTTTAGCTTCTCCTTTTATGGCAGAGATGACGAAGGCAATGATAACAGGAAAGTGCCTCAACTTACATGTCTCTCTGTTGCACTGTGTTATTCAAAGGAATGACAAGCACACCATTTCTTAGTTGTCCTTCAGGGAAAAGATTATCATTTCTGTTGGTCTCTCAGTACCTTTCATATTTTGCTACTCACCATGCAGGCATGCACAACTTCAGAATCTCTGCCAGTAGGACTACATACACATTTTCTCAAAGTTGATCAACATTGTCTAATGAATAGTGTGTATTTTCTGTGGTGCTTAGATAGGATATTTAATCAGGGGCTAGAGAAAGAGCTCAGCAGTTCAGAGCACTGGCTGCTTTCCTAGAGGATGCAGTTTTGGTTTCTCAGCACCCACTTGGCAGCTCACACTGTAACTCCAGTCCTAAGGAATCTGATGCTCTCTTCTGGCCTCCTGTATCAGGCATGTGTGTGGTATGTAGACATGCTTGTAGACAAAACACCTATCCACAAATAAATAATTCATTTGACCAGTGGGAAACATTTCAAATCAGTGGTAGACAAATGGTATTTAGCATATCCTTTAGATTAAAAATTTGATTTTATTCAAACCCTCCCCTGCTCTCGTCTGCTGTACCTTTCAGTAGTAGCTGATTCTCTTCATCCCAACGTAGGCCTTTGTTTTGTGATCATTAATCATAAGCATCCTAGTTTGCGTGTGTGTGTGTGTGTGTATGTGTGTGTGTGTGTGTTTGTATAATTTCTCTTAAAGAAACACGAGTAAAATGTCTTTACTTTGAATGATTTCTTTTCTCTTTTTCTACTTGAAAGTTTTATTTTAAAACTCAGTGTTTGCCAGGAATAGTACCACATGCCTTTAATTCCAGCACTTGGGAGGCAGAGGTAAGCAGATCGCTGTGACTTCAAGGGTAGCCTGGTCTACAGAATGAGTTCTAGGACAGCCAGAGCTACATAGTGAGACCCTGTCTGGGGAAACAAACAAATAAACAAAAAACAAAACAAGACAAAAAATACAACAACAAAATTAACCTTTAATGTTTGCCTCCTTAACAATACTTAACTTATTTGGGTAGCTACTATATTATTTCAAAAAAAAACCAAGAAATTTTGTTTCGAGACTATTTATTCCTACAGTGAATGATAGTGATATATCTGAAAACATTTCCCCAGACAAGAGACACATACACAATGGCGATCCCCACCTCCTATGCAGGTGTTATAGCTGGTACTTTGAACATGTTCTCAGTCATATGTTTCCTATTTTATTGCTCTTACTACTGGACCTGGGTGTGCAGTTCCTCCTAAGCCTCTGGTTCTCTGGATGCCAGTGCAGAGCTATTTTATTGGCCATCTGGGAAGAGCTTACCTTGAGTTTGGGTCTACTTTCCCATATGGACTTACTTTGTGGTGCTAGGACTGGTGGAGCCGGGATCTTCTCTCTGGGAGTTAGGGCCCTCCCACCTCAGCTGCTGCGCGCCAAACACTCTTTTCAGGACGCTTCCTTTGAGAAACTTGGAGATGATCTTCTCTCTCTGAACGTTGCTGAACACTCTGCCTTCTGGGAGCCAGCTGGCCCTATCGAATGCACAGCTGTGGCTTGCTGGCAGCGGAAGGTGCTCTGGAGACACGGGAGCTCTCTTTGAAACGACGAGAACAACAAAAAGAAGAAAGACAGAAGGGGGGGGGAGGAGGAAGAAAGAAAGGAGAGAGAGAGAGAGAGAGAGAGAGAGAGAGAGAGAGAGAGAGAGAGAGAGA